GACCAGCAAATCCAAATTACAATTAAACACGCACATTGGTCATAGAGGGGTTATTAATCTCATGTTTTTGGCATTGATCGATAACTTAGCTAACGAGTTAGTGAACACTCGTTTCGTGGTTGGGAAAGAGTATAATTAAAATAATACATGATTCCGTTTTATCACATTCAGCCAAAAGCGGTTAGGTAGTAGATAGAAACGATTCATTCAGAGTAATTTATTATATTCCTGCGACTTTTTTTAAAAGGGTTCGATATCGTCTCTTACATACAGCAAAAGTTATAGAAAATTTTGTAACATATCTCTTCTTTGGACAAAAAGGTGTTGACAAACGATTTTACTTCTTAATTTGTTCGTTTGCTTTTACTCATCTCTTTTCGTATAAATTCTTCACAGTCTGATCAAATGAACACTTCTTATTGTGTAACTTGAATGATTTTTAACAAATCTTATTTTAATGTCTATTCTTCCAAGTTTCTGACATACTTCCCATTATCAGACATTTGCTCAAGCCTTTATTATTCTTATCACAACTATTACATCTGTCGTACCACACTATCAATTTGTACTTTGCACTTATTAATTTTAGTTGTGTAATTTATGTTGCTGTCATTACTGACTCATAAACTATCCTGATCGTAAATGAAACTTACAATATTCTCGCCGTTAGTGAAGAGGGTTTGATCATATGCTCACTAACAGGTAATTTAGAGAATTAGTTTTCTAATTTTTAATGGGATGCTATAATCGGTTTCGTTTAGCCTTATTGATAGTAAGTGGGTTAACCACTATTAGTTGTACAACACACCAAATTAACTGAAATTTGAAATGCAAAACTCTGAATACTTATAGTGGTCTGAAGATTACGACCTTGGCACGTGGCCCGAAAATCCTCTTAATGATTCTTTGTTTGCTTGAGAATGCTTACAACTGAAGAGTCTCACACTGCCGAATGCTTCCTGTGTTTCAGTGGTTGTCTTGTTACAGTGAGTTCGTGACGTAAACTATGGAACACAGGTTTTTGTTGCCACGTCTGTACATATGTTTAAACGTACTAAATTATTCTCATACGCAGTGAGGTTGTGATTTTTATTATCTAAAATCTGTCGCATTGGAATTTGAGGCCAGTGATCAACTCAACTACTTCAATAATTCCATTGTTAACCAAACAGCCAAGGTTTTATAACAGTTCCTTAATTACTGTACACACTCTTGCACATTGAATATCATTATTTTTGTAGGATATACGAGTGTATATTAACAGTTAAATGTCCGTCTTCCTTATAAATATCATCTAAACGTTAATTATTATTCTGTCTCTTACACCATGGAAATTTCCTTTTCTAGCAATCAGTTGAACATATATATGGCATTCAATTTTATTTCTAAAAACACTTTGTTGGCGTATATTTTTGTGGATTTACCTCTTCATAGATTGACAACAACATTTCACGCGTAAAATCATATATATGTAGTGAATAAAGTTTGAAAATAGATTTGTTACTACATTATTTGTTCGATACTATTTGCGTTCAAAGTTTAAGAAAAAGAAGAGGTGGACGACTTTGTGGTGTATTGGGCTCGTAAAATCTTGGTAATAGTAGAGATAAATTTATCACTATACGTTTCCATAATTATTCATCCTTGTGTTATTATATTATTTGATGTCATTATATCTAATTGTGAACATTGACATTGAGATGCTAATACATTCAGTTCTAAATAGGATGAAACATTCTTCCTGAATTTCATTGTTAGCTTGTGTCCAACTTTAGTAAAAATATATGACAAAGTGGTAGTGTCGAGAAATTCACTAAGGATGCATGTTTTCTAGTAAACACTGATCGGTTCCAAACCATAACATCAACATTCAGAAAATGCAAATATTTACAAATAAATTTAATGAGTAGTAATTTTAGAACCTTGGAAACAATTGGTCTGCAAATCAAATTTTTGTTTCGTTCATTCATAAATAAACATGTGTATATTTTATTTACCTTACCATAAAAAAATTATGTCAAAAGGTTGAAGCGAGTAGGGAAAAAGTCATCGGTTCCACTATCGAGGATAGATATGTTTATTACTGAATTAGTTCGCTTCCAACTGCTGTAGTCTAGTCCTGAGTACTGAAAGAGCTTTGTCGATCAAACCGAATCTTGGCTACTACAATTAGTCTCAGAAACTCAAGATCACAATCCACGTTGTTTGGTATTCAAAGGATGGAAATGTCAGAATGGCCCACGGGTGAATTCAGGGAAGCCCTAAGAAGCTCAGAGAGAGCCGAAGACATTCCATCCAATAATCTTTCGGATAAACATCCCATCGAAGTGTAGCTTCCTTATTGCACAAATACTAAAAAACCACTATATGCGGATTGGGTGACTGTAATGATGATTTCATTTTTACTGAAAGCTATAAATACCGGGTAGTTTTGTAACATATTTGGCATTTATAAGAACTCTCGTCTAAATTAGAACGAATAGTTTCACAGTATTTGAGCGCCGAGTTGAAGTAAGACATTAAATAGGAATAATATATTTGTAAAATCTCAGCGAATGAATTTTTTAAATTAAATCCAACGTTTCGCCTGGCAATCCGGTCCAAGCTTTTTCAAGGAATTATAATCAAACATCAAAAATTATAATTTTGATGTTTGATTATAATTCCTTGAAAAAGCTTGGACCAGATTGCCAGGCGAAACGTTGGATTTAATTTAAAAAATTCATTCGCTGAGATTTTACAAATATATTATTCCTATTTAATATTTGGCATTGTTTAGAATAACATTCCTTCTCACCATTCTCCTGTCTTCTAACTTGCTACTTCGGCAGTTCTAGCGTCCAAATACTCAAGTTATACGCGGTATAGCAAGATACCAACAAGACACTGATCAATCACAGTCCTAAATATCAATGAGAAGATTCAAACAACCTATACAAAAATGAATCAAACGACCCGATTGCAGAAGCCAGTGACTATCTGGACTGAGTAGCTAAGTTAATAACGCGATGGCATTTGAAACGGGTGGTACTGAGTTCAAAGTTTGAAGTGATTATCAGCACTGGTATGAAAGTACATCTATCTGATGAGTGCGAAATAGGATGGAATGAAAATCTTGGATTCCACTGCTGGCCACAACCCATCTCTACCAAAGGATGTGTTTAAGGCTATTATTTATGACTTTTTTTCATCTGTAGAGTTTTTGAACCAATTCTGGTATTACAACGTAGTTAATCATATAATAAACATTGTATTTCACTTTGTTAAGGATAGACGTGTAAGGACCATCAATGCCTTGTCGTCGTTTATATGATAACCAGTTTTATACTTCTTATCAAATCCCTTTAATAAATATACCTTATTTAGTTGAAACACATTGAAAATCAATAACTCAAAGATTTATGTAGGCTGCCAACGAGTGATTTTTTGATGGAATTACAAAATACTAATTTAATATTTAAAAACTTACACAAGTTGAATTATGTAGCTCAAAATATAATTGTCTCTTGGTTTTATAACTAAATCATCTCAGTTATAGTTGTGTTCGTCAGTGTGTGTTTTCGCTGATTTCAGAAAACCTAGATTTTGCAGATGCCTGCTCGAAATGAGCAATTTTTTCAATCTCTTAATATTCCTCATCATTTTGTTGACATATCTGTTTCATATCAAGTTACGATTCAAATACCTTAATAGCAACTTCAGTGATTGTATCATTGAATTATTTCTGCTCGTATTCCACAAAGGACATCAATGTCTATACAGATGGTAACTGCGAAATAGCAAACTCGGGGTTTCTTGTCATTTGCTACTAGCGTTTAACATCGAGTAAATTATAACCAATCAATCATATGCAACATTGAACCTGGATGTGCAGTGCGATATTAAATCTATCAAACTGATGGCCTTAATTTGAACTAATTATAGGATTTTATTAGAACTGAGAAATGAACTACATAATATTAATAACTAGTCATTTTATCAACTCATCAATCAGTTTTACCAAAGTATTTGAGGTAATTACAGTTTATTTATATATTCTGGTTATGGCTAACAGTGGAATCCAAACTCGAGTTCCCTACGATATGAAGCTCGTCAGATGGACATACCTCCGCCACAATGTATTGACGTTCATACTGATACTCAAATCAAATTTTTATTGCTTAAGGCTGTAGTCCATTATCCATTGAGCCGTTGATTCAAGTTATCCATTACCTTGTTCAAACGTTTACTAGTGGAGTTTTTTTGTTAATTATTGATGCTGTACGAAAAGTTGCGACTGAATATCAGCCTTAAGAATTACTATTCTATGTGGCTAAATTTATCCACAACATTTTTGATTTTCAATAAGGATATTTTATCTATAGCTTTCAGTAATATTTCTTTTCATTAAATGAATGAGTGATGTATATTGAAGGGTGACTTGCATCAAAGATTTCATTTCAAACATCTGAAACTAACCATAACTATCTGCTATAATCATGTTTGTCTATTATGGTACAACTCTTACATTTCGCATTACAAAACGTGAAAATACAGTGAAAGTGAAGGCTCGAAATGAAATTTCTGATGGAAGTTGGTGTATAACATGGACCGTTTATCTCATTAAATAAACCGGAGTGTCCGATAGGGCTAGATATAACAGACTTTTTGAATATTGAAAAGATTACAGACAACCTCAGCCTGGACAGATTTAATTGACTAGAAGTGTTAATCGTTTATCATGATTATGTCATTTCAACAACAAAAATCAGTGTTTAACAATAATACAGAAGGCAAAGATGGATAGTGGCTAGCAGTGGAATCAAAGACGCGCGTTTCGTCTTATTTGAGACGTGTCAGCTGGATGTTCCTTCATCTCAGAGTTGATGTTCACTCAGGGACTCGAACCCAGAACCTTTCGCTCCAAACACCATCGCGTTCAAACAAACAATACTAAGTGAATAATACAGAAAGTTTGTCGTTTTTTAAAAACTGGTTTCTTGCTTTTTTCTCTATTTTAGGCTTTACTTAATAAATTTCTCGACTTTGATACATTTGATTTACAAGAATATGAACATTTTGAGGTAAGTCGAATATATGTTTTCCTGTTTAATCACCTCTAAAAATGAATTTTACAGAAAGTGGAAAATGGTGATCTCTCTTGGATAATACCAAATAAATTTCTTGCGTTTTGTGGACCACATTCACAAACGAAGATAGAAAATGGTATGTTGATTTTAAAATTTAAAACTCTAGGGTTTAAGTAAATTGTTGAATTTTTATATGGTACATCATAGACTTATCTTAGACAATCAATGAAAACTAGCAAGCACCAGAAAATTATTTCGTCCGAGTATGGAACCCCTTAGCAGTCTCTGTTCACTGGATATCGGCTCAGTGGTCTAGGGGTTAAACGCTCGTCGTGATACTGATAATCTTAAGTTCGATCCTCAATAGAGTAGTGGTTACCCACTTTCAAAGGGTTCAGTACCAAGATGAAATAGCTATTCAGTGTTTCCCAGTATTCAGTGATTTGTGTGGGATCAATCTTTGATATGAACTGTATAAATATTTATTTTTTTATTATATTGTTAGTGAGTGAATATTATTATGAAACTGTTAATTGTAATAAGAATTTGTAGTCTGCGGGCCAAGAAAATTTGTCTCACATGTAGCTACCATATTTATTTAGAAATGAATCATTACCTCTGTCAGCATGCTATTAATTCATAAGCTACATTCATTATGTTCAAACCAGTAATATTACTAATACGATTTAAAAAAGAATATTTGTCCGATTTGTTTATGTTGAAGCTCCAATTTCGAAATAATGAATTCAGGTAGGCATCCTTGCGTGATTTCATGGAAGGTAATATGACCTAGGTAGTTCCCTTTTACTGTTTCTAAACTTTTACATTTCTTCGGAATGGATGTTCTGATAAACGTACATGTCAGATAAAATCATCAGTATTATTATAGTGCAAAGTTTTAGAAGTCTACGTATGATAAAAACATGTATATATCTCACTGATTTTTTTAAATGTGTCAAGTGTAAACTTGCATACTTTATTTGAAATTTGTTATACAGTATTTTCTTCTTAGATCAATTTACCGCCACTGGTAGTTAGTTAATTAGAAATCGATTATATTGTGTTGTATGCTACTTATGCTGACAGATATAAGTAGTATGTAGCAGCGATCGGAAGTGGACATCAAAAGATTGAATTGAAGAGAACAGGAGGAAAAATGTAATGACAACAGAGTTGAAAGAGTCATGAAGTATGTCAGGACATCTGAAAGATGTGCAAATAATGTATTTAATGTATGCTTTCCATACTTTACGACGGCACTGTGTAATTTGGCATTTGACTATAAATTGGTCCCCCCACCTGAGTTTTCGTTCAAATCAGTATTACTGTGCTTATGGTCTTAAATTACGAGAATAACACAACAAATGTATTTTACTTAATATTGTGTTTGGGATTTATTAAGCGGTTGTGTCAGAGTTATGAAAACGATGTTCATATATTAAAATTAAAGTCTGATGTTGCCTAAATGAAAACATAATTCAATAAGGATTGTAAAATATGAATGATTCACTTGTTGGCAAGATTTTATTTAAATCCTAATCATGTTATTATCCGCTTTCATTTAAACCTATTATTGAAAGCGTCTTCTGAAATTTCTTTGCTTCATTGTGCAAATGTGCCTCGAAGCTTAAATTGATTATATTTATTGACGTTTTATTTTCTGTTGATTTACACTACATTTGGTGGAATGAACCTTTTAACGTTGTTTTATCAATAGTTTCAACCCATTTAACTTAGCAGGAATGGTGTAACAGCTTATATTACGTTGTCTTACGTTAAAGCTAGACCATCGGATACCTTATAAGTTTTCCCCTACCCAACCCGGTAGACAGGTTATTCGATTTTTTAGAACACTTGGAGAACAAATAAAATCTTACAATGAGGAAGATGATAAAACCGTAACATGGACAAGAGGTAACCAAGCTGCTCCAAGTACCGGTCCCAAGCGATCGATTGAATAATCAACGTTGGACCACCGTTGACCTCGACCAGTCATGAAAAATAACTCAACATTCAGTGATTAGTTTTCCTAGGCTGGAGTACTTTCAGCATTACTGACTAATTTGTGTAAACTTCAGTAATATTTCAATGTCCTTACAATCTCCCCATGAATTAACATTTGCTTATTTGCATGAGTTAGTTTAATTCATTCGTTTGTTTCATTTTATTTCACTTATGTAGGTTATCCTCTACATTCACCGGAAGCTTACTTTCCATATTTCCGAAAACGAAATGTAACCACTATAATTAGGTTGAATAAAAAAGTTTACGATGCTAAACGGTTCACCAATGCTGGCTTTGCTCATTATGATTTATTTTTTACTGATGGGAGTTGTCCATCTGATCAAATAATGAATCGATTTTTAGAAATATGCGAAAATGTCTCGGGAGCAATCGCTGTACATTGCAAAGGTTAGTTTTCTGCCTTTTCGAAATCTATTAGTTTTTTAAAGCTTGACTATACAAAAAAATTGTAACATTAGTTGTTATATATTGGTGTAGGTTTGTACTGAATTATTTATTCTCCATCATGTTCATATGCCACCTTAGTCATTCGTTTGCCTATACTGCAAGAATTGATCGTAATGAGATGTACAGTATTTGAATGTTTGCCCCTAAATAATGTAAGTAAATTAGGTCACGTTTTAGACCAATTTACTAAGATTTTTTGCTTCTATATTATTTATACTTCTACATACACCATATTGGATAATGTTACTCAACAAATTAGGGTACCTATGTATTTAGAAAACCAATGTACAGAGTAAGAGCGATTGAAATTAATGTTGTACTTAAAATAGTTTCATTCACCCTGGAATGCAGGCACATCCAGCTGACGAGTCTGAAATGTAATGAAACGCATGTTTTGGATTTCACTGCTAGCCACCATACATCTCTACTCATAAAATCCTTTAATTTAATTTTTGTGCATATTGTTTTATTTGAAAATAATTTATATTATCATACAAGTTTAGTTTGCCGAGAAGATGAGGTAACAAGTAATTATAGTTGAATTTATTCCACAGTTTTTAATGTCAATCGGTCAATCAATCTTTCTATCAAGCTGATTATTATTTTATGAAATATATCTTGTCAAATAGTAATTTGGGATTTTACTCCTTTTTTGTTGACATGATTATATACAAATACTTGATAACACTAATGAATTTATTTCAATAATGTGAAATGATTATAAGTAGTAAATTATTAAAGCTTTGTTGCAGAGATTCAATCCTTAAATAGAATTTCATCTAAGAAATCAAGAAAAATATCCTGAAAGCATGGTTTCATTCAGTTAATTTTCGTATTTATTGAATGTAAACTTCGCAAATCCAATTTTTGATTTAACTTTATTGTTTTATAAGAATAGGGGCTTTTAGAGATTGTAGTATTTTAATGGTTGAAGTCATAAATCATTCTAAGCTAGACCACCATTGGAAGCACTGAACGGCCGTTTCATTCTAGTATCGGACGCCTCAACAGTTCCCATCCAGTATACCATACTCAAGAATCGAACCCAGAACATTTGGTCCCGTGCGCGAATGCTTAACATCTATACCACTGAGATGGCATCCCAAAGGTGTCAATGTCTATTAGTTGATTCCCTATGATTTTGCGTTTGAAATAATATTTGATCAGTTTGATAATTTTGCCAACTAAAATTCACTGAATTTTTATCGTTTTATAACTGATTGATCTCGAATGTGATTTGAAATCTTCTTGTGGTCATTTTCAAATAAATTTTCCTTCTGCATTTGTGTTTTCAAGTAAACGGGATTATATGAGCAGTCTGTTGTATTATTGTTCAAATTGTCGTTAAACTAGTCAATGTTACTGTATATATACCGTACTCATGCCTAATTATAATAAAATTGTAATTATTCACTTATGAGATGGTGAAGATTTGTAGCTCAGGTGGATGATTTATATGGAGTTGTGTTCTCTGAGCTGAATGGTTTAATCGTGGAGCTCAAAGAACAAAACTCCACCTAAATTATACCTATCAATAATACAGATTGAAAAAACATAATTACCGACATAATTCATTATATACAATGGTGTTTAATACATCAAATTGTATTCAAATTTATTATTGTCCACATATCAAGGTGCATTGAAAGTAATTTCCTAATTGATATTGGAAAGTTTATCGCATTGTTAAAATTCTTTTTTTCAACGATCGTTCAAATCATTGATAGTTTCTTATTTTACGGACGACCTCAGCCTAGCCAGATTTAACTGACAAGAACGTTGAGTAGACAATAAATCTGAGTTACTATTCAACGTTTCAGTTTCTAATGGGTTGTTTGATTGGTTTCAATTTCTTTAGTTAATGAATCATAAGTAACGTAAAATCTGGTATGCATGTGCATTTTTTCATTTCCATTCTTTTATTTTAAATATTAAAAAATTTCAGCTGGTTTAGGTCGTACTGGTACATTGATTGGATGTTATTTGATGAAACATTATAAACTTACTTCTCGTGAAGTGATTGGTTGGATTCGTATCTGTCGTCCTGGTTCAATTATTGGACCACAACAACATTGGTTGGATTTGAAACAACCAATTTGTTGGCAATTCGGTGAAATTTACAGGGGAAAACAACGTCAGTTAACAACATCACATTCAGTAGAATCATCAATGAGTAGTGATGAAGATTTAAATGTAGCAGAAACAGTAAAATTACAAACTACTGTAAAGAAAAATGATTTATTAACTCAAAGATCTTCTGAAAATGGATTATTAGTTAAAAGTGGTAGAATTTGTAAATCTGTTACTCCAGTATCATTGGCTAGGTAATCATTTTTTTAATACACGATAATTTATTTATTCTTATTTATCAGAGGGGGTTTTGTGGAGAATTTAGTATTTTCACAGTTGAAATCATGAGTCAATTGAAGCTAGATCACCATCGAAAACCGTCGTATGTGATTGACATGAAGCTACGAACCTAGGTTTGGTGCTGCTTGACAATGTCTAACAAAGCATATCTGTACTCATGAGGAAACTAGTGCTCTAAATTTGGTTTCGAAACCCACGTTACTCACCGTCGTAGACGCTTACCACAGTGCTGTTTGTGTAGCGACTGACGTCTCGTTGAACTGATTCCTGAATCCTAACAAATGTCATGTTTTTCCAATACTTAGTATTGATGAAATTCCATGATAATACAAATTGGATTATACAAATACATAAATGTTCAGACTCATCATCAACAATAGATCTAAATAGATAACATAATTATGTATTTAATTGTCATATTTGAAAAACTTTTTATCACTCAGTCTTGATACCTTTAATTAGTATTTAGCTCCTGGTGTTTCTTAAATGATGAGTGACACCTAATTCACATATGTATGTTCTTCCGATAATTGTATGCATACGGATACTACCAAAAGAATATTCAGAATATTTGTTTACGACTTTCTCAAAATCAAGAGCACTTTCCAATTTTCCTCCAGCTATCAGTATGGGTTTGTGGAGTGAGGTTAAGAAAGGCTAAAAATAATCTAAAGTGAGGGATATTAGCAGAGAATTTATTACTTCAAGTGATATTCATCGGGGATGTCTGCTTTCTTCATCTTGATTTAACTTTGTCATATACATTTTTAGAGAAAACAATCTTATCGTTTGACTCTTCAGGTATTGATTTTTTACCAGGAAATTCATTTGTTGACTTGGGATATGCAGATGATATAGTTCTGTTTGGTGATGACGCTGACAAAAGGTAGAATTTTTTAATCACCTTAAGCAACAATTCAAGAATCTTTGGGATGGAATTCTTCCTCATTTTAATTGTAGAATTTTACTTCAGGAATGACTTCCATCATCACCCGAATTAATGATAGGGAGTGAAATAGCTTAACATCATTGATTAATCCACTCATCTTGTGGATCTCATCAGTCCTTATGGCCTGGTGTATAATGAAATCTCGTCACAGATTCAAAACTCTCGGATGACATTTGCCAACTGGCATTACTTGTGGCATAGGCAACATATGTGACTTCTAACCAAAGGGCGAGGTTACTGTGCAACAGTTCGTTCCGTTCCACTTTATGGATGTGAAATATAACCATTAATGGTAGAGAATATTTGCAAATTACTAGTGTACAATCACGTTTGTCGTGTTTTGGGACCACAAAGTAGGCAATGCCTGAGTTAGGCACAGAGTGCTAGGTAAGGATGCGAAATCGATTGATGGGGTAGTAAATTTTCATCAACTGAGGTGGTTGGGAAATGGGTTACATGTACGCAGCCACTGCTTACCTCGATGGGCGCTGTTGTCTGGCTTAGGAGTGGACTGGAAGAATCCGTAGGGGCAGTTGAACCAAAACATCGCATCACTCCATGAAGTCACTGATCATTGGATTGACTCATGATAACAGGTGTAGAATACCTTGTTGAGACACGTGTGATTTTCGTGGTCAGTGGTTAGAGAATTGAATGACATAGCTCAAAATCGTTTGTAATGAAACAGGTGCATCCATTTTTTGTCTTCCCCCAGATTCTAAGCTTCGGAATGCCTCATAGTCTTTTTTAATTCACTAATTTATATTTACTTCTCGAATCGTATCTTCAATGAGTAATCTTTACTATTACCACTGATACTGTTACTACCTACGTTATTCCAGGATTTGGGCTGATAATTTCATCTTGCTATGTTGATGGGGTGTAGGAACTTGAACCAATGTACACACTTACCAGGTTTTACGTTTCGACTGACTGATCGATTGACTTATGTGACTAAGTATGCATTTGGTCGACTGAGCAACTAGAATCGAGGTGTGAATAACACAGACTGTAATGATACGAATTACAAACTGGAAGTGAGTGTTAGAACACAATATAATAGAATACCAGAGATAAAACTGAATTGATAAACATTTAAACTGATAATTAATGAACGATCTGGAACACATCGTATGAATAGGAATTGCATTTATTTGAGTCAATTACAAACTAATTGACACAGAACAGTGAAGGTAAGAGGATGAAATACAGTTAATTACAGTCCACAGCCAATGAGATTAGTCACTTATGCGTCAACTTGAGCCGATATTCATTTGTATGTTTCTTACATTGTTTATGACTGAATGGTTGATGTTTCAGTTCATAAACTTTCATTTATATGTTATTTCAACAACCTGACAAGTATTTAATACACAACTGTCTGACTAGAAAAAAAAATTAATTCAACTAATGCGAATCAAATTGATCAACTTTGCAGCAAATAATGTGTTAAATAATTGGAGAAAAATGAAGAATATGTAACTATGTAACGCATATCAGGAAGTCTGAACTTTCTGAGAAGGCTTGCACCAAAGAACAATGACTTCCTAAGCGGAAACCACTTGTTATTTTGAGTGTTCCCGGGAACCTTTCAAACAATCTTATGCTAGGGAAGACGAACCCAGTGAACTAAGTAATGGCATGAGTAAAATACACTGGAGCGATAAGCATGATGACAATAATTAATAAACTATTAAGATTACTTAATGAGAACAAAGATAAATACCTATAATTGTTATTACACACTGCTCTACCGTAAAAAATACTAGACATACTGGCACTGACCAATAATACTAGGTGGAATTTGTCGGGAATCTTAAATTAGCCTCTGGGCATTAAAATTATACTGAAATTTAGTAAAACGATCATAGGAATGAAAAACAGAATTACAAACATAATTTTTTACTGATTTCAATATCGTTCTGAGATTGTGAATTTTTATTAACTGAGATAGTTAGGATGTGTGTCAGATGTGCCCGAACATCGACTGCCTCTACAAAATATGTTGGCTGGTGCGGAACTAGGTTAACAAAAGCTATGGGCGGGCGAACTGAAATGTGACGGCCGTTTATTAAGTTATTAATTGTTTGTCTGAGTTGTGTTGATAGATGCAGACTACTTGGTCTGAGAGCATGTGATAACCGCCACCAGTAGTCATTGCAGATGTTGTATGACAAGTCTTAGAACCATTGACAATGACGTAGACTCATTACCTCTTTATCTTACTCTGGATGTTGAGATCCGTTTCTCCCCTATACATACCTTTTCGTTCCATTTTCTTGAAAAATATTCTTAATGTTTAGTCTTTCTTATCATCATTGTTATTACAACTATTTCGATTCCTTTGTTAATCATCTTGCTGCGCTAATATGGTTTAGAAACTTGAAATAACGAATATTTTTGCAGAGCTGTTCTTTGATTTTGACTGATATGCACAGCTAATCAAGCCTTTCATTACGTTCATTACAATAATCTTGAAGTAAGATATTGTTCTAATCCCAAATTGTTTGAATTTTAACTGAAAATCTCCTATATCTACAGCTCAAACCGTATTCATTTTATCTTGAATTTCTACGTTAAAGCAGATGAATTTTTTTTCTACATCTTCTTTTTACTAATTTTTTAATTTACGTCAGTGTATAATGGTATGTTACATTTAAATCTAATTGTATGTAATTTTCTATACAAATGTATGAAACACTACATTTCTTAAAGTTTAATTTTCGTATTACATACTTTTCAAGTTTAACTTGTTTTGGAACTTTTAATTGTTTTGTTAAGTTATTTCATGATGGTTCAGTTAGAAAAAACGTATTGGACAGTTAATTCATTCTACAATAAATATCCCCCCTTCGTTTTCTCCGTTTCATGATTCTCACTAACTGAAGTTTATCAACTACTTAAACCAACTTATTGGAAAATTAATAAATAGAAGATATTAAATTTTTTGTTAGCTATATTTCCTAAAGCGAATATTATATTCTTACGAATTCAAACTATCATAACTCGCTATTTGATCTCTGAGTAGTGATCAATCTAATGTTTATCTTATCCTTTGTACTAATCGAGTCCTATCGTTTGAATTGCATTGTGATCACTAGACTAAGTGACTTGAAACATTATGCACTACACTTTGATTTTATTTAAAATGAGTCGACAGTAATGACGTTTCTCAGAACGAGGTACTTCGAATCATGGAGTTGGTGCTCCCTGTTGGATTCAAACACGGATCACCTAGCTTAACAGTATGAAACGTTGCCGCTGAGTTATTTTGATGCAGATATATCTCTTATAATATTTCAATTTCATAGGAACACCTTGCTGATGACTAACAACTAACACGAAACCTAGACTCAGGGTTACCTACCGATTACCTCAAACCACCTAACATTGATTATATAACTCATTACCAACACATCTATAGTATGCTGCTCAAAGAACATAACATTGATGCTTCAAATGATAGATGCTAAATATATATAAGACAAACTAACTATAAAATTAATGATTATTATTTTTAATTAATTCCGGATACTCTAATTCATTTATCAATTATGATCATTTAACACAAAACTGGGTTCTTTTTCTATAAAATGTTTGTTTTTCCTTTGTTCCATTTCTCTCCTTTTCCCATCATATAGGTCCAACAATAATTCAAATGATCTTGGCATTAAAAATCATTGCACTATTCCATCTATTTTATGTTCCGAAATTTTGTTTCTAAACAGTCATGTTCAAAATCAACATAAAAGATGTTTGAGTAATAATAGTAATAGAAATAACACTAATAAAAATAGTAATAATAGCATGAATAAAAACATCAAATTGAATATCGGCAATACAAGAAAAACAACGAAAACGACAACAACAACAACAACCACTACTACTACCACTAATAATAATAATATAGGTTCTCTTGCAATCAGTACTGATAATACTGCCAGTAGTAATGATAGTAATAATGATAATAGTGGTGTCAGTGATAGCAATAGTAACAGTCTTAGTATTAGTAGTAGTATTATCAGTAATAACAGTAGAAGTAGTAGTAGCAGTAGTGCATCTATCACTGAGACTCTCACTAATTCTCCACGATGTTACAATATAACTGTTAAAAATATTAATTTATCACAATCATCTAATGACCAATCAAAAAATGCATTAAAATCAAAAAATAATAAATCTTTATCAAAAACCAATTCAGATATTTCATCGAAATGTTTTGACCGTGAAGTGATTATTAATCCAAATTTAATTGATAAACAAAAATCAAAGAAATTATGTAAGTTTTATTAACTTTATTTTGGATTGTTCTGTACAGTTTCAATTGTATTTTAACATGTAAACAAACACTTTTGTTTTATTGTTTTTATCTGTTTTGAATTTTATAATTATGAAGGGTGCTGTTTTGTATAGTATTCAACTTTGATAAGGATGCATAAGCTGCTTACGTTTGAACTAAACTGACTACATAAGTAAGCAGAAGAGTGGCAGGGAATACTTAATTTAATAGTCTAATTGGAGTGTGTGTATACTCATACATATATACATATAAGTTTCTGTACTTTAGGAAATTAAGCCATTGATGATATTTGTCTCATACCTTATAAATTCAAGCCATTTACTGGTTGATATCATACAATTATCATTTGGTTGATTTCTGATTGGGCCACTGAACCGCATTTGCTTCAAAGAATATAGGTTTGACATCATAGAGATTGAGATGGCTATATATTTATGGTAAACACAATTATATAATTCGTTAATTCATCAGACGCTTGTGTGAATTACAATCTAAGTCTGTGGGCTAATGATGTTACCGAGCGGCCCATAAAGAAGTAGATGGAACAGGGTTCGAACTCGGGACTTGATGACTGAAAGTCACACGTTTTAACCACAAAGCCATCTCTTCATTGAATGTGTACAATGATGAAGGCCAGTTTGTGAATTACATCAAGAAAAATGTGGACCTATTAATCGATATTTCCAAAAGTTGTGATCATAACCTGTAGTTAAAGATCCAGTATCAATTATAGCAAAATTTATCGTTGAGGAGTATATGTATGGTTTTATCCTACAATTTTATTTATTTCTTCCTATTTTCATTTCCCTCGCTCATTTCAATGTATTCTGTTATATTTTGGTATGTGTCGATGGGTATAATATCTGGGTCTTGGGCTGTTCAAGAGCGAATGACTAGACCTTAATGTTATTTTTAAGTTAAAAATTAAAAGTAGCAGTCAATACGAAAATCTACGTCAGTCATATCTAAACATTGTACTTGTTCATTATCAGAATCGTGAACAAATATTCAATGAATGATTTCAATTTGATTAACCGGTCAACTAAATGATTAAAATATTGCACAATACAAGGAAACAACAAAATGAGGGGAAATTACTTGGTAGAATCAGCCTACTTGGTATCAGATCGTTGGTGGTAGTTATAGAAGAACCTGAATTTTTGCTTTTTTCTAGTTGACATTCGTCAGCAGAGTGTATCTGAAATCCTTAGGTAGCTGACAACCGCTGAAGTAGCTAAAATTACGTCACACAGTTTCAAAAACAGAGATATTATCAATGAGTTGTGATTGACCTCATGTGGGACTAAAATATTTTCAAGGTTCATGACGAAATTTCAACCTGATTGACGGAATTCCATCAGTACCAAGGGTTAGATAAATACTAATTAGGTCACTTACTACTCAGTGATCAACCAGGTGTAAATATTCAAGTCACATAGAAAGTCAATTGCGTCCCAAACTGTTCAGTGTTAACACCGCAGAATGTGGAGTTAGATGGCTCAAGTTCTACTACCACAGAGAACACAAATTCTTTCAATGTTTCAGTAAACTCTGCTGACAAGTGCTAACTATCACGAAAGGTGGGATGTAATATCACTATCGTCTAAACTAAAATTTGGAGCAGAACAGAGACTGATTATACCTCGGTCATTGACACTAATTTCGAACCATGTATATATGGCTTCTTGTATCTATTGTCTCCACATATATGTAAATATTGCATCATTATGCATTAAAAACATAAAGTCAATAACTGTACGAATCAATAACCATATCGAGATAATTCGAACAAGCTGTATTTATGCCAGTTAAGATTGGTCAACGTTCAGTTAATAATATCAGTAACGGGATAGTTCAAATTTCCTCAATGATGATATTGTGTTGTTTTATTGCTATTTAAAATGTATGACATTGTTTCTGAAACTCTGTTTTTCACAATGTCCCTCTGATCGTTCACTTCATTGAGTGAAAATCCTGACTTATATACTAGGACCTTCACCAAGATTTTATTTTTTTTTGTTATCCGTACTCTGAAAATTGAACGTTTTACGAGTCTAGTTTTGTCTACTTCGTAGGACTTGATTTTTCATGCTTTTTTTATTTCACTAATTCTGTATAACATGATTCACCTGACTCATCTTAAGACGTTGATCACGGAGTTTGTATGAAACCCGAAGTCGAAGTGGTCGTAAAGGTTTGACTTCTCTCCGAAGTTATATTTCATCCTGTCTTCTCACCGGCGTCTCATTTAAGCTGCAGACAGAACATCCCATACCCGTCCTATGACATGGACACGACTTTATTTTGGGGCAAAGTATGATCATCCATTTGGCTTGAAAGATGATAAACTAAGCGAGGGAAGATTGAAGCCAGGTGATACTTCTGAATTTTCGTAGCGATTCTGACGAACGAGTGGATCTTCAAGGATAAGTATTGAGGTTAGATTCATGAAACTACCCGGTTCCCTCAGAATAACTGACGTTTTAAGAAGTAAACAGACTTACCGACATTCTATGTTTACAAATTCTGCATTATTTTGGTCATTCACATCATGTAAAACAAAATAATAGTAATAAAGCTGGTTTTATATCCCTATTATGTAATCAGCACAAATACCTGAAGTTATATAGTTAGCCGTTAAATTCGTCACTAAATATTTTTCTTATTGTACTACATTAAGTCCCATTCAAATACAAAACAGAATATTATTTAATAAAACTTAGATAGTTTATAGCTACATTTAGTTTACACTTTTCTATTAAAACTGAGTCCCTTATAAACGATCTAATATTGTAACCGATTAGTTTGTAGTGGATGTCGAGTCGAAGACGGACTATGATCACCACTACAATTCGTTTACGCGCCCAAAAACGACTTGGTTCCTTTGATAGCTCGTAAATCAGAAGACTTTATTAATCCAGATGAATTGTATTTATTGGCGATCTCGTGGTATCGAAATAATACCGAGACGTGCCAAAGAGTACAGGCGAACAGGCAGTGCGTGAGCAAGTTCGAACCAAACAAGGCGGAGAGCGAAAGCAGAAGTGAAACTGATACAGTTAAACAAATACAGTAAAACAATCTCTGGTACAATTGGTTACAATAATAATAATTGTTTCCGTTATTCCAATCGTGTTCTTATCGAGACTGGCCGGTCACTACAGGAGCCACCCGCTAGAAAGTGTTTACACCTTCGATACGTAACGGTTTCGTTCGTGGGACTGATCGCGAAACATGCAATTGTAGGACGAAGGCGTTGGCAGAACAGGAAGTGATCGTTGATCCTCGAGTTGCCACCAAAATTCTTTGACGTAGAACGGTACTGTATTGATTGCTTGGATTAGCATGCTACACCAGAGTGGTTTGTATCCAGAATCTGAAGGTTGCGTTCGTAGAGGTCCGGACCAGAAACGCTGCAGACGTAGGACGAAACCAGACTGAGCCAAGGAACCAGATGCGACCAGAATAACCATGTTCGGGACCAAATATATACCATACGTATTTGGAGCCAGAGAGGTCGACTGAGTGCGTTGACTAGAGCTTGGGTGATCAGGCCAGCTTTCGCCAAAGTTGACTGAAGTCGACGATACCGTAACAGCGATGGTCGGAGGCGTAGGCTCGGGGAAAACAAAAAAATGAGAGAAAAAGAGAAGAGTGTAGCATTCGTGTAGTATAGGGTTAAGGTCCTATACTGTATCCGCTGCTGGTCATGAGGTTAGTCGCGAAAGCGTACGGGTAAGCGTACTCGGCGACCGGAACGTGAGACGGTAGTCGCGTTCGAACCTCGTGAGCCTGCAATCTCGTCCACAGTCAAGGGCGGTTTGGTCTGCTGGTCTGGACGTGAGACGGAAGTCTCGTCCGTAGACGGGGCAGATGACAAGTGCTGTTGGCTGGGACGTGAGAATAAAGTCTCAGGTGCATCTAGCGTGGGATCCGAAGTAGATGTAGAAATCCCGCTAGAAGCTTTGATGGGTTTAGCATTGGGTCTCGGCTTATCAGGTAGGGCACTGTCATCGACGTGTGCTGGCATGAGACGATCAATGCTGACTTTGACACGGCCATGTCGATCAACCTTGAAGGTCTTTTCGTGACGGGAAATCACGTGAAAAGGACCTTCGTAAGGCTGTTTGCTCAGATTGACCGTAAGTTGTCGTGTACCATAGTTGGGAATGACTGAGTCATCCTCAGCGCATAGTCGAAGCATCGTAGCTTGAGACTTACTGTTACTGATAGGTACGACAGAAACTTGGGTACCTGTATCCATGAGGTACCTAGCGTTAGTGCGATAATCGTGCACGTAAAATAAACGGTCAAACGGAGGTGAAGGGCCGGTGAGTACGGCCGTATTTACTCACCGGCTCGGGAGTTTCCCGCCTTGTATGAGCAGGGAGCTCGACAATGACGGGCACCGGCCCCGAAGGCACGGTGGAATCAGCACCAACTCGAACTCGCTTCCGAAGCCGCCTTCTGGCGTGGCTTGGAAGATGCCCGCTTGGGGCAATTCGTTACGGCTTTTCGAGATCGTGACCCGGGTCGGGGGACGTAGGGGGCTGGCACATTTGAGCGGTCTCGGAAAGTGAGACGTGTATGGATACATCTGTCCCTATCCCCATGAGCCGAAGGTCGTCTAGCATCGAAATCCATGTTTGAATGAGAAGTAGAGGCAACAATATAGTTGTCTTTGGCGCTAACAGGTGCTAGAATCTTGTCTGCTATGAGAGCCACCTTGTGCAGTGGGGTGTCCTCGAGTAGGGCCGTAAGAGTTGGTTGGATACTAGCTGGTAATGCTTCGAGCCATAACTCTTTGACTATTTCGGAGTCTGCTGTCGAGTTTCCTGCAAGGGATTGCAGGCGCGTGAGGTGGTGGCTCGGCTTAGCATCACCCATAGGGTGACGTGCTAAGATAGTCCTCAATCGTTCCTCTCTTGATGGGAGGAAATGTCGAAGGATGGCATCCTTAAGACGGTCGTAAACGTTCGGAACGTTCGGATTGAGGACAACCTCACGGACAGCAGTTAGGTGATCCCCGGGCAATGATTCCAAAGCGTAGGCGTACTTTTGCCTTTGGTTGGTTATGCGGCGGATCTCAAATTGAGATTCCAGTGCCGCGAACCAGACTTCTGGATCATGAGGGATGAAAGGAACCGGTCGAAAATTGATAGCCTGTACCTCGGAGTCTATTATATTTATACTACTCTTATCGTTATCCACCATGGTAAGTTGCCAAGATATTATATATTGAAAATATCAATACGAATATATGCAACAGAAGTGGATAGATAAATAGACTCACCAGATTGATCTGGTTTGAAGAATTGGCCAAGTTTGAACTGTGCTCGAAGAATTGGGTTACTGGTTGTGGTTCGCCAGATGTGCGTGTTCCCAATACGGCTCACCAGTTTGTGGTGGATGTCGAGTCGAAGACGGACTATGATCACCACTACAATTCGTTTACGCGCCCAAAAACGACTTGGTTCCTTTGATAGCTCGTAAATCAGAAGACTTTATTAATCCAGATGAATTGTATTTATTGGCGATCTCGTGGTATCGAAATAATACCGAGACGTGCCAAAGAGTACAGGCGAACAGGCAGTGCGTGAGCAAGTTCGAACCAAACAAGGCGGAGAGCGAAAGCAGAAGTGAAACTGATACAGTTAAACAAATACAGTAAAACAATCTCTGGTACAATTGGTTACAATAATAATAATTGTTTCCGTTATTCCAATCGTGTTCTTATCGAGACTGGCCGGTCACTACAATTTCTTTCACTATATTTAAGAACATGTTCTATCAACAATATCTCAGTGAGTTATCTAACATTTTATCAAAATTTTGGTAAATACTTAGTCGTAGAACTGGAATTAATAAACAATAACAAAGTTATTCAAACCATTAAGTTGCACTCAACAGTTTGTCCATTTCTGATACCTTTAAACAATATTTGACTTTTTTTAATGTCAGCTAAATTAAATTCAAAATCACGTATTAGTCAAGGTGATCAGTTAAATAGAATAAAAGCAATGAGACGTCCAATGCAACAGCGTTTATCAGATTCCCCAAAACGCAGTAATATCAAATCAACAAACTGTAATAGTAACTTGAATCGTACCTTCGATTGTACGTCAAGTAATCCAACTGATATACATGATTTATATCGTGGTTCCGTTTCATGTACATCATCCATTACAAATATTCAAGATCAATTGCCTGGATCTACGCTAACCTATTCATCTAGTCCTGACCACTATAATAATATTAATTCGTTATACTCAAACACGAGGAATAGAAAAAGTTTAAATATATCTCCGATATATACGGGTAATAATTATTCAAGAACACAACCTGATGCCTACACAAAGTGTACTCCATCGACTATTGTATCTCCAACTGTTCCATCACATTTTTCTCGATATTCAACTCGTCAGTCGTCAAATCGTAACAACAGTGGTTCAATCACAGTTAGAGTACGGTAAGTGGTTGCATTTAACTTGATATTTTGCTAAGGAAAGATGGATTTGAGTGATTTACTGATAAATGTTTTGTTTAACGGAATTGCTCCAATCGATAGTTATTGTTTTTTACTGAATAATTTAAATTAGGAAGCTTTTACTGTCTTATTGTGAGCAACATAAGTGAATAATTTAAGTCAAAATGTGCACTAAACGTATGTCACTTGTGGAATAATTCAACAGGTTTACTTATAATTGAAATAAAAAACGGTTGTACATTGTTCAAAATAACACGGATAGCTCTACAAGCAAATTAATTAGCCTAGAGTGTTATATCCGAACGAAGAATAAATGAATGGTAACTGTTGGGGATTATCTATGGACTGTTATTACATATATTCCCAATGTATAACTGTAAAGTAACTAGATTGTGCATATATTCATATTCTTTTTATCTTCATATCTTTTTATAAGCTTTCATTTGACCTATTGACTGTTATTACAAGATTTACTATTAAGTTATTCCCAACATATTAGCTACAGTCTCTCATACTCACAGCCACTTTTATATTGGTCTTGTATGATTGTTATTTTTCATTTTATTGTGTGATACGGTTTGGCAACTTGGAGCGATACATATATATGCCTGGTCGTACGTTGTAGTTGACTGACTATCTGACTGGTGTGATACGGTCTGATGTGCTTGTATATAAACTGTGTATGTCTGAAATACATGATTCATACAGTAAAAGCTGAGATTTTGTTCTAGACTCAGCGGGAAGAGCAACCCAAGAAGAACCAATAAGGGCTCAGAGTTAACTCTAGGTTACTCGTGCTGGTCAACTTGTCATTGTTTTGGCATAGGGTCAAAGTCATTTAACTCGGTATTCTCATTGACAATCTTGTCACGTGATAACTGACAGGGGCAAAAGACATAACGTAGAGACCACAATTTGAATCAAGGTATCAGTTTTAGTTAGTAATCTCCTGTACTACATCAGAGCATTCACGGTTAAACAATAATATCCATTAGTCAGTTTATTTTTGTGCTATTAATAATGTGCTCTTTTGTCGACATTTTATTTTCATTGAAAATAACACTCAAGGTACTTGCTAAATAATTATAGTTTTTTTTAAACAGACAAATGGGATTAATTTCATTCATTGATTATGATGTAGGTATAGAAATGTCCAACTAAACTTTAAAGCCTACTTGAAATTATAGATAACCATAACACACATAAAGCGTATGTAGTTTGTTATTTTTAAAATGGGTTAACATTCATATCCTCTTCTTATTTATACCAGTAACAAACTATTATAACACAAAACATTCTAAGTTCACTTTGGTTAAATATAATGTCCTTATGTTCAACAATTTATTACATATGTAACAATATTGTTGAAAACATGTGACACAGATCATTCATAACACAATTGAGTTTCCTTGTCCTGTGCTGTTCTGTTTAAAAGAAATTTCCATTGGATGGCAAACATTTCCATCACTGTACGTTTAGAAAACAACAAGTGTGTAAAGTAGCAGCTATTGTAGGGATCAAAATTTTCTGTCAATAATCAGTAATGTAGGAAATTCTTTTATCCTAGATTTGGGTTTTTACTCCTCCATGGTCAGAATAAAACTTATTGGATAATGTATTCTTTGGCGGCCTGCTTGAATATTTGGGCTATCTGTTCCTGCTATCTAGATATTTAAACAAGTTATCTGTTTTTTTGTTTTAACACATCATCATGTCTACTAATAGCATAACCCATTCAGGTGCGTTTATGAAAAGTTTACGACCTTACAATGTATAAGTTACAAAAAAGTACAATCAGAAACATCGTGGTGGCTGGGAATATACATTGAAAGAATGTACATTATTCAGATGTCGATTCTTGAACTGCTAACATCTAACTTGGGGTCACTCAATATTTATCGCCAGAATGGATCATGAAATAAGGAAAGGAAACTTGTTGAAATATATTGTCCTCAGAATTCTATGTTGTACCAAAAATATAATATTGAATAAAGCCATTAATAATATAACCGTTCTCCACAAACCATCTAATCACCTGTTTTGTTTAAAAATAAGGCGAGAAATATCTATTAAGTGATTAAATTGCTGTACGTTACTCGTCGTTCTGAACAGCATCTATAGAAGTATTGGACCTCAATGTTGTCCAGAATGACAATGAAATTTCCTGTTAAACTCTCCAGCTCAAGTAATACAACATCACCAAAAGCATCTAGTTGTTATGCAAATGTTCTTCATTATTTCACGAATCTAATGAGGATGAGATCATGAGCAGATCCATTTTACACCACTATTGAGATCCTGGAGGCACTGGACGCCCCTTTCGACGTAGTTTGAGACTCTTCAGCATTGCGAATCCACAATCCTGCACGCAGAATTCGAATCCAGGATACTTGGTCGCGCACGAACTCTCAACCTCTCGACCACTGAGCCATGATCCAACAGAGTTAATTTCTAACCTTAACTTCTCACAAAACCTCGTGATTTTGAATACTTAATGACCATTTAAGGCGTACTTATATTCAAGATCATTTTAAAGATAGTACTCTCTGTTCAGGTTCTGGTTAACTTGAAGCTGTGAGGTGAAAATGTTTTTGGATATTTTGCTATGTAAATTGAAACGATAAAATGATCTTAAATTGATCCCTGTAAGCAACAGTGCGCGAATAAGCTTTTACAGTTAAAATCTAATGCGCATTGTGCATCATAAAATCTGTAGTATCAAATCTCTTGATATTGTCCAACCTTTTTTTTCAAATCTATTTCAACTAAAAATAATTATACGGAATTTATTATCGGATAAGTTGTGAGGTTGAAATTCATTCGAACTGATACAACCCTAAATGCTAAGATGTTACTTCTAATAAATGGAGAAATCCATTAATTCAGTGTTTCAAAAACTCTGTCATGTTTTTATCCATTCCCAACAAAAACCGTGAGTTTACTATATCCGATTGTTTAGAGATACATTTATCGAATCATACGCCTCTTCAAAATTAATCCTTCGACAATTGTTCATAGAAAATTCCTTTCCAAATACTTTCTTTTAGAGGCGCATATCTGGTTCCATGTCATCATGATTTATACATAAATCATTTGATTTGTTCTGGTGGAAACTCGTCAAAATCAAGTAAATAAAATGTTCTGGATGATGATACACATAGAAGAGGACATACTATGATGAAATTGAAAGTGAATCCCCTTAAATAACATCAAACGTTATGGATTTAATGATAGGCTGCTTCCAAACTTTTGTGTGAAGCAATAGTTTAAGACCGTTTTAATTGTCCACGTACTTACCATTTATAAATGATTCTGCTATTCTGCACATAGAGTAATTTGTTAACTGGGCATGAATTTTGGCTTGTGAGATGTTTGAAGTTGTAACTAGTGGTTCTTTAGCAGTCATATCGTCCAGTTATATTACATCAGTTCATCTTGTTGATATCATAATCTCAGTCTTGTATTGATGAATAAATTTTTTCTGTATTCATATAACCAGAATAAATAAATAGTGGCAAAATTCTCCTATCGGTGCACATGCAATTCACATCATTATTGTTAGCGGTTCAAATTATTATTTTATTCAATCTTACTTAACATCTGTTCATCCTGTCATGATCGCCTCCATCAGGCCATTTATTATAAGCTTTTAGAGAATAGATAGTTTGTCGCTAGCAGTGAAATTCAATACGCTAGTTTCGTCCTATTTGAGACTTGTCATCTAGGTGTACCTGAATTCAAATTTTGATAACCACATTGAGACTTCACTTCAGTATCTTTCGCTTCAAACTCCTAGCATCCGGTGAGCTACATCAATATTGACATACAAGTTTATCCAACTGAAAAGTTCAAAATGGAATAAAATATGTATCTCAGATTGCACTGCTAGCTGTTTTCCATCTATTTTATAAAAATGTGTATAGTTTACGTTTTTCTGGTCTTCAAAGTCATTTAACCTAATAGCTATATTGTGCACACCTTAATTTATAATAATTTTTTAACTGATTAATTTCATTTAATAATACTATTAGTCAGTGTTTGATTGTATTACGTAATAATTACACTTGTTCAAACGTAATAAATAAATGTCAGTCTATAGTTTTATTCTAATTAACAATGATACATTGAGTTTTTATGCTCAGAATTCCATAGACTTTGGTTTTTTATTTGTTTGTCTTTGTACTTTATAGCAATAAAATTGGAGTGAAACGTACTAAACCGACTACTGACAATAATAATAATAATAATCTAACTATTACTGAAAATATTGTTGAAAAAGAGAAGTTGATGGGTAATTCAGTTTCATTATTAACTAACCGATCAGTTGTATCACCATCAATGAAAACAACTACAATTATCACAAGCGATACTTCAGTACCAATAAAACGTGCATCATCAACAATAAAAAAATCTCTTAATTTGGGGAATACAGTCCCATTTGCTACTTCTCCTGATATCATACACAATAACTGTAATGATGCAAAATGTAATTATGGTCATCACAGTAGTGATTTGACTAATATTCCTGTATATGACAATGTTGCACAAAGTGAATTAGATCCATTAATCAATATGAAATATTCTCCATTGTCTACCAATAATCGATATAGTTTTAGTGATGTTCTAAATCCAGTTACAATGAATTATACAGATAATTTTAATGTCAATAATAATAATAATAATAGTAAGAGTCATGGTTCAATAAAAACCCCGACATATAATCTTAGACACAGTGTCCGCCAAGAACAAGAAAGACATCGCTTATGCAAACAAAAATCTTCCACTCCTAGTGATTATTTCACTAAAACGAATTATATTGATTCAACTGTCGATACTCCTTCCAGTCGTCATTCTACAAAATTTCGAGGAACAAAGACAATCCGACTACCTATGTAAGCAGTCTTTGTGTGTTTGTGATTGGTTGACTAGTCCCATATGTGTATATGCATAATTTTCTAATCTATGTATATTTCACCTTTCAAGTTTGCTTTTTCTTACAAACCAGCTTCGCCTGAAATAGATTCCATGCATGAATTTGCAAAATTAAGTTATTTCTCATCCTCAACTACCCTATTTTATTTTTCAAGTACACGTAATCCAATTGTTGATTGAACAATATAACTTATAATATAGTTATAAAGTAATTTATAGTGATCTTCTTTAGTTGTCGTAAAGCATATATACAAATAACTGTTACTGTAAAGTCCATTTGAAAATAATACTAGACAGGTGTAATTTTATTAAATAAACTTATTCGCTACCTTTTTGACTTAAATATATGTATTCTCATTTTATCCTAGTAGTAGTGACTTTTAGATTATTTGTAGTCATAAACACGTTATGTTAATACTATATTTCTTTTTCATTAGGACGACATTGTACTCTCAAGATCCTTTATTCATTCGAAATAATCAATCTGCAGCAGCCGCAGCGGTTAAACCACCATCACCAACAGTTACATATTCGGTTAATAAAACTTCCAGAGAACCATATTTTACTAGATCTGTTCGTGCTCGAGCACTACATAATTCTATGACAGATTTATCTAATCTGTTAATTGGATCACATTTATCTGATTATTCAAATAACAGTAGTAGTAGCAGTAGTAGTATGACTTATGATTCTTTACCACCAACTAGTCAAAATTCCAATACATCAGTTAATCTGTACACCAGCCCATCACCATCATCATTATTAAGTGATCTATCAGTGTCAAATAACACTCAAACTCCTTTGTCATTTTCTTCACTCCCAATGAGATTTCATTTTCGTCATCCGAATATAATAAAGAATAATGATCAAAATCATATTCATGTAAGTTTTGTTTATCGTGAAAAGTTTATCTTGTTTTCCATATCATAACAGTTTTACCAAGTGTTAGGTTCCTATAGCACATTGAAATGTTCAAATTTTAATTGGTAGAAAAAAGTCATGCATAAGAATTTATATAGGTTGTTTCTTTCTGAATTCGTATTTCCGAACAGCCACATAGGTGTTGATGTTATCAGACAATTATCTTGTAGTAAAACTTCCAATGGAAGCTTCGCTATTACTGAAAAGTAGGTTAGCAAATGAAGACACAGTATCCCATGTTCAGTTTCAAAGCAGTAAGTACAATTTTACGGATTAACGATTGTATTGAATATCCCCATTACATTTGTTACATTGAAGGTATCTTATGAAAAAACAACCTTGAAAAATAATAAGTGCATCTCACCATCGCACAAATGACATATGGTAGGTGTCAATCAGTCTTTTGGAAGAAGAAATAATGGTTAACCTTTAACATTAGATTTATTTCAGCAGTTTTGAACATACTTCTGCTTTTGACATTCAGTTCAGTACTCAGAATATGGCGACTGTAGGACTGGAGTTCTCATCAGTTTGTGAAACTGTTGTTAAAAGCACAGATTAATCCCGCTTCAAAGCCATATCAAAACTGTAATAACCAATGACCACCATTAAAACTTAATTTTACTTGGAAGGGATGATAAAGGTTTAACAGTGGGTGGAGTATGTGTGTATATCAAAAAAATTATTGTGGTATGAATTTTACTCCGAAAAGAAGTTAGATAATGATCTATACGCTGATGAGAAACATATTAAGATGAAAATGCTTAATAGATGGGAGATGATTGTCCAATCGGTAGTTAGAGAGAACCAAATTATTTAGTATCGTAATAGTGACAAATGATTAATCATGGAAAAATAAAATAAGAGGGGAATGATAATGATACGTTGCTGAATATGGTAAAAAGGATTAAGACTAGAGTATAATGGGAGATTGATTACGTTACTTTTGTATACAGATTAAGTTCTAATTAGTAGATTGCTTAAACCTCTGCGGTGCGTAAGTTTTTAACTCCACTGAAATTAATATGTGACAAATACTACTCACAAATAAGACAAATCTACACAAAACATCTTTTTAAGAGTCACATTTTGTTCAATACATACTATGATAAGCGGTTGATAATGCGATTTCCTTGGGATTTAGATCTACGTGAACTCAAAGTGTTATGTTTTTTTCTAACTTCATTATAGTCCTCAGAGTAGAAATTACTTTTTTTACAATAAGCCAGCCAGTTCTAATCTTACAGTGTCATACATGATGATCAATCGGAATTGAAATCCTTTTTTTCGGTACACTATGTGACCTATTGCTATTATTGTTATTATTATATTACTTTATATTATATTACTGTATCATATTTATTTCAACCCATTTGTCTGCTCTTCCACACAATATAAAGTTATCTCGTTCTTAATTTAACTGATTTTGTCAGATTCATATTGAAAAATTTTACCTTCCAACTTCGTTTTTATGATTAGGTTTGTTATGTCCATACTCATAGAATATCAATGATTACTCATTCATCTCTCTTTAAATTCACATGACATTAAGATTATCGTTACTTCTGATCAAAATAACAACAAAATAACATTTCTCTTACTCAATTTCATATTCACATGATTCCACTCTAGTGATTATAACCTCATCAACTTTCTGGCTTCATATGACGTATTTTGTAATTGATTTAAGATTTAGTGTATATGATGTTCATTATTTCTAATCTAAACACACTGATTGATATAATTAGGACCTTTATAATTATTCTCTAATATAATACCGATTGTAATACATTAAAAACAAGCTTTCAATACTTTTAAAAGTTGAAGGCAAAATTCCTGAAAATAATTCCCGCTTATAAACATACTCTTTATTTTAAACAATTAATGTATTTATGAGTTATTTTGTGATTGAAAATAACAAGCCGTAATTACCAATTATTCAACAGCAGAGAATGCTGGAAAAAAACTATTTCTACTTTAGGAATTCTGATTTTGAATGCTTTTATTAAAATAGAACAACAGTTAATCATACCATATGTTCATAGCATAAGATACACATAGAAAAATATGTCGTTTTTGTGGTAAAGTTACTTGAGATTTTGTAGTTTATATAACGGACAAATCTTAGTTAGACAACTATTGAAAATTAAGAATCACTGGAAAACTAGTTGTTGATTGTATGGGACTAGATGCCTAATTTTGGGAAGTCACATACTAAGGCGAAACGTAGTTTTTTAACGATATCACCAAACCTTTATTGAATAGATGATTGTCAGTTGATATTATTTATACATGGTTTACGTAAAATTAGATTAATTTGTAATACTCCACAACTTCTTTCATGTTTATAATTTACCATTTAGAGAGTTTTTTTTATTGTAATTGTTTTTTTATTAACCAACGTTGTATAAAATAATCTCATTTGAATAAATGGGTATATAAGAGTGATATTAAGTTTTGCGATAACTGGAAAATCTGACCGGATATTTCTTCCTATATAGACCATCAGAGCGATAACTTTCAAACACTAGGTTTCAGTTTCGCGTTCTGCCCATTGTTAAGTCGGCTTCCAGAGAACCCCAGCAGAGCCTCCAGAGGCTCAAAAAGAGCCCCACCCAGTCAGAGTACGACGAAACATTCCGGAGTTCCAACGTGGCATGCTACCATTGGTCAGTAGCAATATATGTCGTAAAGTGGATTGGCTGAATTAGGATGTTGATTTAACTTAAGCAAACATCTATAAATACCTACGATTTTCTGTACAATAATGAACCTTGTAGTAAAGCGATTTCTCTGTTACTCGTGTCTTCTCTCTGGTCTTCAAGTCGCTGAGTAGTGCTAGCCTGGGGGTTATCCGAATAGCGTAAGATCTGAATAAAGCGTTCAACCTACGAGACATAACACCCATCATTTAATTCCTTTCAGATATGCAGGGTGATGACGCTTAACACCGTACCTAAAGTATATCTGAAAGCCAAGTTTATAAATGTGTACTTGATAAGTTTAATAAATAACATTCTAAGAAACCCCACATATGATGCTTAGTCATATGCAGATATTGATAGAATCTTGTTTCTTTCGAATTCATGACACTTTATTTAAATAAATATTTTATAGTTGCAAAACACAACATCGCCAAAAATATCCATCCCCCTGTAGTATAAGTCTTCTCCATTGTAACACAACTCGTTTATGTACTTGGTCGCAAGTATCAACTATATTTTCAATATTAAGAGCTACATCTATACTACTACTAGTGTTACGTCTGGCCGATTGTGCACGCTATATTTGCTTCCCTAAGCTAGTTCCCTATCCCCGAGCTAGAACTATACAGCAACTTGAAGACCAGAGAAAAGGCACAAAGTATGAAGGAAGCGCTTTACTACAGGATTCATTTATGTACAGAAAATACAGGGTTTTATAATAATTAAGAGACCTTGAGTTTCCATAGTAGCAGTGTGTTAAACAGCCAATCAGGATCTCGTTATTTTAGTAACATAGCTCCTAATTAATCGCTGATTGGTTGGGGCTCTTTATGAGCCTCTGGAAGCTCTGATAGAGTTTACTGTAAGCCGACTTAACAGCTAGTCAACCAATTTATAGTTATCATGAAGTGTGGAGTCCAAATATAAAACAACCTAGTGATTTATTTTTTAAATCATTTTAACTGCCGCCTACGTCATAATAATCATTTAAATTAATTCAATGTAATTATTCTTACTTGTTGGTATAACTATATTTTGTTTATCTCCATATTATTTTTCAATTCCATGCGCAAACTCTTGACATGACACGTTTAAAGTATATTATTATTATTATCACTTTCAATCACTTGAAGTTGAATTCGTAGAAAAGACATGAAACAAATGAATATTCCAACATTAACGATGTGTTGTTTATTTATCGATGATAATTTTCATTTCATCTTTACATCTGCCTACTGATATGATTGTAATAAAATAGATTTATTGTATAATATGTTACCAATTTTGTTTAATGTTGTCTTTTTCATATCATTATTTGCCTTTTTTTTCTCCTTACAACTAATTATATTTTCTTCTAGATTATTAAACGTAAACGTATTCGTGTGAGTTAGAATGAGAAGCACACATGTGCATATTGTATGTGTGTGTGTTTTCGTATTTTTATAGCTATTCATAAATTTATCCCAGTGTGTACACACATTATATACACGATCAGAATAATGAAATAAAATGACCAGTTATTATCACAAAGTATGTAAAGATATCATACTGTTTGGATTATTTAATTTAATAGTATTTTAGTTGTCATATATACACACTCTTTGCTGATCCTTTATGTATCCATATCTGTATATATTCGGTTGCATAGAATGCATGATCCTCGTACACATATAATTATTTACCTATATATTCATTGTTGTCCTATTTATTGTCGTCGTCATATTGACCTTATTGATCAGTTACGTAATCCACAGTCTAAATATCAACTACAGTAGTAGTCAAATTTAAATGTTGTATGAACTGCACTTTTTTCATTGCTGTTACACGATGCCTATCGAATGTTTTACCAATGTCAATTTTTTATTCTAGAGCTTATTTATCACATCTATAAATATTTCGAATCGATATGCAAGATTTACTTCCTGTACCCATGGTGATGTAATATAATTGAGGAATTTTTGAATTACTTCTTAAAATACTGGATAAATACTTTTATGTGAAAAGTTAAACTTTTTGAGGAATCTAATGTAGCTGCATGCGTTAAACACATTCACCATATATTTTAGTTAATGCACATATATGTGTATATAGTCTGTTTAGTTTTTCAATCATGATGATAAGAACAAAGATTACAGCACAATAACATGAAATCACTTTGCGTGTTTAGGTTCTCATCAACTCCTTACTATATATATATATAGATTCGAAGTGATGATGTGATATCATAGTTGAGCAAACATTCAAACAAATTTTCTGTTGAACAGATAGCATAGGAATTGTTACTTATTAAAATGGATGGGCTTGTCCTGTGGACCACTGAGCTGACGTCCAATGGTTTGTGTTTTTATTAGATACCAAGTTAGCTTCATTTTGCCTTCAGCTTGTCAGTTTTTCTCTGTCAATATTGTGATGTTGTGTTAACTTCTTGAACATTTAATAAATATTCTTTTACACAATATCAATCCATTTTTGCAAAATACATATCCTATTTTACATGGTCCATAATTTTTTTGTATAAAATAATCAAACTACAATTATTTTATTACGTTATGCAATAATTATCATGTTCATGATGCTTGACTATTTCTTGTTTGATTTAGATAATAAAGAAATGACTTAACTGACTCACAGAGTTTAGGCCTACGTACTCAGATATCAAACGTGGTCGTTAAAAATAGATGATATTTAGCAATTAATGAGACTTGATCATACATGCCTTCGCAGTATTGTCCTCATATATTATGAGATTACCGAGTAACCAGTCATGAGGTTAGACACTTAGTATTATTCACATAAGATAAGTCAGTTGATGAGGTTGTGGATTTTGTTCGAATGAAGTAGATAGGTCATGTATTACACATTCTTAACCACCGCCTGCTTCAATGCACACTGTTTGTTTGTGCAGGTTGGAAGAAAGCTAGTAACATTCTAACCAAAAATTTTCATCAGTCTATGAAGTGATTCACTGTTGAACTGAAGCAGTTTTGTAGATTCAGACTATCTAGTTGGAGACCACACGATTATCGTAACCACGGGTTGGGGACTTTGCGTGGCATGGTTCAATATCAATGACTGTGGCCTAGTTATATTCACTTTCGATCTTCTCCTAGACCATAAGTGTATGGATTATTAATATAACTTTTTATTCTGTGAATTAATTCTTTTTCAAATCATTTCGTCTGTACCTTGTTTCGCTGATACTTCTATTAATCTGAGATTAACTTTGATAATTATATCTCGCTGTGTTAAAGTGGCTTGGCAGTTTAAACCGATGCACATATTTACCAGGTTCTTTTTATATAATAACTGGTTCACTGATTTACGACGTGCTCGCTTTTGAGATGAATATTTACTCTGCCTAAAAGCCAGAGAAAATTACCATGTGATTGCTTAAACTGAAACATAGGAGAATCAGGGTTCGAAGCCAAGAGTTACTGATGAAAACAGCATATGCTTTATCTACCAGATCACACAAAACCCTCCAATTTTTTTCACTATTGATATGTGTAGTTTCTTTGTCCTGAAACTATATATATATATATATATATATACTTGAACATTTATTACTTTGATGAAAGATCTCATATCAACTGATACTGTCATTCTGTAATGAAAACTACCTTTTCACTTTTGAACGATTTCTTACAAACTGTTCATAACATTAATGATAACTATCAAATTATTAGTTGATATTGAGAATAATTCATTTTGAATATCTATAAAAGTACTTCCATAGTTTATTAAGTTCTCTTGAATAATGTTAAATAATTTGAAAAGGTGTCCATTGAATTTTTCACCTTGTATGTTAGTCTCTCTAATTTTTTATAAGATAACGTTTATCAGTGACAATCATTTTTAACTGTCCGTTTGTTTCCTCCCATTTTTTATTGTTTTCATAAGCATCTTTATTAGTCAATAACCGAATTTCCTCATATCATATTTATTTAGTTATGACATTGATCCGTAATAGTTTTTTGTAAAAAAAATGTAAACCTCCTTTGGGGAACAAAGAAAAATAACGATGGATTAAATACCTATTTTCTAATATCGGACCTACCAACATTTCTCACCTTTGATCTTTCTGTGTATCAAACTCAGGAGCCTCCATTTTTGATCATTGTGCTATATCTTAAATTGATTGAATCTGAAATTGCACCATTGCACTCTGACTCACTACTTGTAACGGTGAAATGTTTGCTGAGAAACCTGAAATTCCCTCGTTTGGTCTCTGACGAAGTCATACATTTACTGCCGAAAAATCCAATACTAGTATGAAACGGCTCTTCAGTTTCTAAGATACTCCTCAATAAGGTCTTTGAGAACCAGAAGAAGTCTGAGAACAAGAAATCCAGCCAATATCTAGTGAGATTTCCTAGAAGCTCCCATGGCGGGTTATGCGTCACACTCTGAACATTACTTGCAAATAATTTTGTGAGTAGCGTCAAGTACAGTACCAACACTTGCCTTCCACTGTACTAACTTAACAAAATTCGAATGCACAATATATATATATATATATATATATATATATATATATATATTCAAGTTCGTCTAGAAGAAATATTTCATTATTTTATTAGAATAAATATTTAAATGTTTAATAACTTTTGATTAATTAATTGATTATTTATTTTTCTTCCTGAATTCACTTCCTAATACATTTCTAAATCCGAAAATCATTAAAATTTTAATTGATATAAAGTATGGACATTCATCTTATGCATTTTATTAATAAAACTACAATACTAATTATATACACAGGAATAAACTGGAACAAACAGAATGGATCTGAACTATGAAAAGAAAATAATAGAAAACAAAATCAACTCACGTGAATATGTAGAAAATAGACAAATGCCTGCGTTTCAATAGTCTTTCGAATTTTCCTGCTGACTGTTTATTTTTAAAATTGCTTGGCTGTAACTTATTCCCTGTTTCCTGACATTTCATTTAATTATGCAGCTTCATCTTAACGAGTGTATTATTTTTCGTTTTTGAGATGTTACCATCCTGCTTTTCAGATAATTCTTATTATACATAAAAATTGTTATTGCTGATATCATATTACACTTAAGTCTTTCATCTTACCAGAAACGTACATATTTATATATTCTTATTATTGGGTAAATTTGTGTAAAGTGTATTGCAGGCATTTATTTACTTCATTAATCGTATTATCCGATTCAATTTCCTGTTAGTTCTAAGAATTCTCAATCATATTCCTAAATTTAGAAGTGTGTTTCAGTTCAAATACAATGTACCAAGCCATTGCTTATTTTTGTGAGATACTTTCAAACTACTGCTATCGGTATTCAGCAAGCATGTATTATGGTGAACCATTAAATTGCACTTCTGTCTACATAATCGACTGCAAACCTATTAACACTCATACATCTATGCCATAAATTGTGTAAAATGTATGGTGAATTATGTGTTATAGTACGATAGCTCTAATTTCTTTTCCACGTTGATATACGAATGATACATTATTAATAGATAGCATTATTCTTTGTGAATTCTACTCTTGTTCGCTATTAATTTACGTATAAAAGTCTACATATATTTATATATATTGACATCAATGAAGCTAGCTTTTTCTCTATGTTTATTCTTTTGAATATTTGTGTTTAATATACATATACACTTTTTAATATCAAATACAGATTTATCTCTTCTGCTAATTCACTATAGTTTCTCACAGAAAGAACTGTAAATAAAGGGATATTGGAGAAAGGTAATTGTGTGTTAAGTAGTTACTTAAGTGACAAGCCGAAATCCGTCTACACAAACGAGAAGGATAACTTTACTGGTTGATAACTTCTCAGCACTTTCGAACCTCCACTGGTTTCCCGACTAGTTTCAATACTCTTACGCTTCATAGTAAAGAAATAGATTTGTAAATTAAGTTGTAACATTCTAATTTGTTATTAACAAAATGACTGGTCAAAATGTCCAATGTTGTATGAGATATTATTAATATGCAATGTGAATACTATGATCTTTGAAAGTATTAACATTAGTGCAATACAGGTATCCATAACAAGGTCGGACTTGATAATTTCAAACAAATTGAGCATTATATAAGAACTCTCGTCTAAATTAGAGCGAATAGTTTCACAGTATTTGAGCGCCGAGTTGATGTAAGACATTAATTCCTTGAAAAAGCTTGGACCAGATTGCCAGGCGAAACGTTGGATTTACTACAAATTCATTCTCTGAGATTTTACAAATATATTATTCCTATTTAAATTGAGCATTAGGTAGAAAGTTTTGTTTTATATCCCAATATTTTTCATTGTTTCCTTTGCACTATTTAAACTTCTGTAAATTTTTTATTGTCCGTTGTTTATTTACTCTGAGGAGGTGGCTTACATTAAGTCAGGAAACGTCAGAAATACAATTTTTCCACTCATGGGGATATAACATATAATATATATTTACTAACTCTCTACCTTATGCTCAATTTATTTGAAATTATCAATGGTTGCAACCGCTTTAACCTCAATTCACCTAAAGATTTAATTTAATTGAAGCATTTTAATGTGAGATGATAAGTAGACGCGTTAAAAGTGTAGCGATTATTCAGGTTTGGAGACTGGGATTTATCCCAGCTAAAAATAGCCGCTACCACTCATGAATTGTTAAATGTTATCATATTACTAAACATAAACATATTACTAAACATAAACTTAGGCTGATTTTCAGAAACTGAACGCCACGGCATTAAACGCTCAGATAAAGACGCTTTGTCGACATTTTACAACTGGCTCATGCAAAATTTTTATCGAAGCCATCGCAATCATACCCCATTTCCATCAAACTCAGTATGTCAAGCCAAAGTCAGATACTAGTAGCAAATGAACGTAACTAATTCGCAAACTCGCTTGACGCTATAATCCACCTCCCCAAAACCTACTAGCCATCCACATAACGAAGTAAGTCATATAACACTTTGTTTTCTTAGATAAACTTGTGCTCAAAGTATGGGATTTCATTCAAAAAAATCTCCAAATGTCTCCTCAATAGCATAGAATATTGCAACATACACAAATGTAACAGATGGTCACTGATCGCTCCTTCACACTGCTGATCATGTAAACTATGGCAGTGTAATTGTTCTACTTTTTAGTTCGATGCAGTAACTGTAAAATCACACAACTCTATACTGTTCCAATCCCATAATGACCCGGCAACACCGAATTCCAATCATCGTGTAGTTCTTTGTGACAACGATACATTTCCAGTCAAACGATATTTTCGGCTAGACAAATGTAAGCACGGGAAGGGTGAATACCAAGATTTATGTACCTATGTGTTGGAATAACTTATAAGTTAAAACTTTCTAACCAGTGAGTCGCAATCTCTAAATCCGCTTCCTTTACTTCAGTTCAGTCAGCCTTCTTCGAAGATAGTTTTCGCCGCAATCGATGTTAACTTCAGATTTTATATGATATAGAACACCAACGCCAAACTACACAAATCTTCCCTTGCCGCTAAGTCAATTAGTTCGTCTAATAAATACGTCGACTGAGATCACAAAAATATTTCTCTGTATAGTGGGGTAAACCAACCTTATTTACTCCCAAGTATACCCCTCATTTATGATAATTCACTTAAATCATTTCTCGAAAGTCCTTAAAAGTCAGACTTTCCAGCTGCTTCGTCGTTTTACATCTAGTCGTCCCATGCATGATGATTTTAGACTGTAAACGAAACCAAAATACAGAAGTCCAAGTCTATTGAGTAGGGAGGGTGATCTAGTTAGGTGATTGGATTGAGGACCTGAAACTTATGAAAAATCACTAGCTGAATGTATAACAAAGCCACACTAGGAAAATGTGATAAGTGTTTGTAAAACATAATTTATTAGTTGTCATAAAAAATAAAACAACTCGTTGTGTAAATATCCAATCAATCGTATGGTGATAAGTATTATGATAGACTTTTACACTACAACATATTGATTGTGGTTGAGTTTTGGGATAATCGGAAATACATAACTGGATGGAGGAAATAAACGAAAACAATGTAAACACAGGAAAGTAATTGTGACAAACAAAAGGAATGAACAAAGGAAAGTAATAAAATTACTAAATGATATAAATAAATTGTAAGACGGGAAATGTGAAAAAAATAATACAAATAAGAAGTATGTCCATTTATATACGAAAAAAATACGTCCAAGTACAGACAATAATGAACTGTTTTTTCAGATATCTACAAAAGTTTTGCAAGAAAAATATAATAATAATAATAAAATAAGGAATATACATACAACACTGATGAGTTAAGATTACAACAAAATTATATACACGTGAAATCATATCAGGCTCTTATTCACTGTTCCCATAGGACTTTTTGGTATCACAACCTAGTCATAATGTAAACTGGTGTGTTCCTGTTAATTCTTTTCTGAATATATATATATATATATATATATATATATATATATATATATATATATATATATATTAAAAGTAGAAAATAACACTACCATGAGTCAGCAGCTGACGTACTGGACACATATTCATAACTCAGCAATTCATCAACAGATGCTCTTTCTAAATGATTTCGAACTAAACTCCGTTCTAAGGCCTACAACGAATTAGAAAATAAAAAGTAAAAGAATACCATGGATATAATAAAAATTCGCGTAGTATGTGTTTAAATGCAATATTCACCATGAATCGAGGTCCGCGGGATAGCCAGTGAGATAGAAAACATGAGATACTATGTGTGAATGCGCATTATTAAAAACTAGAGCGATACGCTCACCTAATCCTGCCTCTGCTTTTTAATGGTTCTCTTTCTGACGACAAATTGTTATGGAATCCACGTCCGGATTGTAAACATGGAAATCTACACAAGGTTATCAAACTTGATAACGTTCGACATAGTTCGTAATTAAAGTGGCTGGTATTCATGTAAAAGGATGCTTGAAATTACCTGATATTCACAGAATATTGAAACTTAGGAAATAATATCACTACTGATTAATTGTTTAGCAATAAAACTAAGTAAGTACCATTAATCAAGTTGACATTTATACACTTAATCATGGGTTAGATTCAATAGGGCTGTGTTTATGACAATCGATACATAGGACGACATATATAACAGTGAACAGTAAATGTATGGCTAAATTAAGTGTTAGAAACGATGAATTTGAGAATTCGCACTATATATGTGTTGCCTGATGAACAAAGTACTAGGATGTTACATAACCAAGATTGATATTGATAGTGATTTTAAAATAATAATTACACCAGTTCTATTATTTATAGTATAAATCTCTAATCATCAAATTTAACTGTCAACACTGCTGTAACATGCAATATACAATCTAATCTAAAAGCAATACTAATCGGTGATAATTATCTGATTTTACAATTTCCTTTAATCACAGTAAACTGATGAATTAAAATTTAACTCCTATTATTCGTTATCGAAATTCATACAGTCATGTTGAATCGCCCGCCTTTTACTATGTTCGTACTGAACGTTGACTGACACAATAAATCCAAGAAAATTGAGTACTGTACTACAAGCCTTAAAATAAACAAATTACATAACAATTACTGATAAGTATAAGATAAAAATAGACAGTTCGGAAACATAGACGTCTTTTTTCAGTCGTGGTCGTAACCAAACTGGTACTAAATGAAATTATTATCTAACGACTTTAGATAATGATTATTTAAACAGGGATTAGTTTACATTCGAAATAATGTTATACACAGAATAGGTCAAAGACACGTTCTGTTAATTATACTGTTTTTTTTCAACCAGAGAATGATAACAGAACAAAATATAACAATTCTCACATTTCTCTACCTTATAAATAGATTTATTCTTGATAGCTGGTAAAGATATTTTTACACTAGGATTTATAATTGCTGATAGACGAGAGTGAAGTTTGTCTTGATTAAATGGTAATTGACCGTAGACCATCATATAAAGGATCACACCTAATGACCAAATATCCGATTTACGACCAACCTTTCATAGTAAAAAAACAAACAAAATTTTTATTGAATATTTAAAAACAAATAAAACACGAGAAATCATTTTTATTCGTAATATGAAACTGTTCACAAAGATCCAGGTGAATTAATCCTTTGTCTTCCATTTAGATCTTCAGTCTTTAAACTTCCCTATAAACTTTCTTTATGGGGGTTTGTGGACGTTGTATTATTTTTTCAGTTGAATTCACAAGTCGTTCTAATTTATGCCATCATTGAAAGCCTGGGAGCACTGGGCAGCTGTTTCTTTCTAGTATTGGACTTCTCAACAGTGACCATCCACGATCCCGCACACAGGGCTCGGAGTTCTAGTGATAAGCAATGGCTAGTGGAGTCTAATTAGTGCCCGGTGTGAGACAGTTATCCACCTTAGACAACGGTTGAAGGTTTGCGCAAGATCATCGATCGATTGAAGTTAGATTTTAACACAGTTGGATGCCGGATCGGTGGTCTAGAGGTCAGGTGTTCGCGCGAGTCCGAAGGTCCTGGGTTCGAGCCCTGTTTGCAGAATCCTGGATATATATATATATATATATATATATGTCTATAACCAAAACATATGGTTTAGATTTACGAAGTTTTATAATTATTTCTTTTTAATCTGTAATTACATATCATAGATGACTGGAAATTATCAACTTCAAATATCAATCACTAGCGTATGCGAAGTGGAGTGGGTACTTTCTGTTATGCAATATCTAGGATTTCCAATCATTTTTTCGTACATTTAATGAGTGTATAAAGCACATGAGGCCATGCTTTTTACTAGGGATTTCATTCCAAACATCTAAAGCTATCTACGTATATCTTTAGTGAACACGCTGCTGTAACGTATCCCATATTGCCGGATGAAAAAAGTGAATAGCGTGAAAAACTTAAAATGAGATCGTGAGTGGAAATTATGCTCCTACATTCAGCAATCACACGCTAAATGAACGGGAAATACTTGATATAGCACACGTATTGAACACTGAAAAACGGATGTGCTTTAAATTTACGGACGCATTGTAGTGACTCGGTTTCTTAAATCAACCACCTTGATAACCGTTATTATACAAAACCCGACGGTGTTTGAAATTCGCATTGCTACGATTGAAGAACATTTGGGACTCAAAATAACTGTCAACCAATACCAAAGTCAGAATCCTCAATACGAACGTCAAGACAGCCCTACTGTATGGCGCTGAAACGGGGGGAACTACTACGACCAGCAACAGACTACTGTGGGAGAGAACAAACCAACTTCCGACTGAGGAGGGAAATGGGAAAAGATGTTGGAAGTGGATAGAACACACATTGAGGAGATCATCAAACTTCATCACGAGACAAGCGCTAACTTGGAATCCTGAAAGGAAACGAAAAACAGGAATGCCAAAGAACACACTGCATCGGTTATTAAAAGCAGACATGAGAAGAATCAATAGCAACTGCAAAGGACTGTCCAGGATAGAGAATCCTGGTGAGCGGCCTATGCTCCTCCATGAGGAGTAACAGGCGTAAGTGAGTACGCTGTCCTGTGGATAGAGTTTTATGAGCTTAGATGGAGGATAAGGACAGGGTAATTATTGAAAATATTTCGATTGTATTGTGTAATTTACTGGTATCATTTGCTTACACTAATAGAATATGAAATATAATATGTCCTATAATTCAGAAATACCGGAATCTTGCTTAATAACTCAGTTTCATAATGTTATAACTAACGAAAGATTTGTTTTTTACAGTGATAATATAATACTTTGATACGAATAAGAAATTATGTCAATGAGTTGAGGAGTGACGGCCTGGTAGCTAAAGCACTCGGCGTTCAACAAGTAGTAGGTTGTTAGGTCCTATAACTAACCCTACCTCATCTATTTTGGTCTGGACAAACGGGTAGTATCACTAGATAACATAACCGTGAGTGATAAGGATCAGAATCATTCGAAGTAGTGCAGATCCATTCACCTTTTGTATGTGCTTAGATAATGATGTCTAAATTTGTCTCGTGTTTTATTCCACAAATTTATTCTTTTTTCGCAAATCACATCATCTGTTTATTCTTTTTGTGTTAAACCGTGAAAAACTACTACACCGGGACTTACTGTGATAATTCGACCTTAGTGTGTTGATGTGATGGTAATGTGAAGCAATGCACATATGCATCAGGTTATACATAGCTTATAACTAACCGAGTAGCACAATATTGGCGCTAAGAGCCACGTATTTTTGTATTCTTCACTGATCAAAGGCTCAGCAGTAAAATTTCCAGTATTCTATATTTATTTGACAGGTTTCATTATAAAATTAAAACTGTGAAAAAGAGAATACGAACGCTGAACACAATCTATATCAGAGAAGTAAACTCTGATGATAGAAATATCTCTATTAAAATAAGCAGCATGGAATAAGTGCATTATTATGAAACAACCTTAAAACGATTTTCTTGGTCAACTTCAGGACCCAAGAAAAACGATTGATTTAGGCCAGATGAGGATGAAGGAGTAGCAGCAGCAGCTTCTTCCAATTGTTCTGGACTCATGAAAGATAAAGTTCCCAACTTCAACCAATGGTTTACAGTCGTTGAATCATCTGGTAATAGACGACTAATCCCCAAATCAATAAGCTTCAATTGTCCATAGACTAGAACAAAGTTTTGTGGTTTTAAATCTAAGTGAACAATACCTAGAATGAGTAGAGAAAAAATAATCAGGATATAAAACATTTAGCAGAAGTAATCATTATTTCGGATTTACATAAATTTATCCGAAGTTTCAAAATATAAATAAAAATGAAACTAAGCAATGAATTGGTCATGTCAAAGAAATTATTAAAATTAAATTTGTGTAACAGTGAATAACAATCGAAAGATATCACAATATAAAACTACTAATTTTCAAAGTTAGACAAATAGTACTCTGAAAATAAAATTTTACATTTCGGTATTCATACGTATGGAAAATTATAGATTGCCAGAAGCGAATCTATGAAATTATTGGTTGTAAACGAAAAGAGAAAAGTCTTAAACTTGGTTAGCTACTACTAGTGAATTAGCTTGTATTTTTTATTAAACATACAATAAACGGTTGTTTCTTGTTTTATTTTCAGCTACCTTTCAATTTGTTTATAGTTGTTATATCTAAGACATTAGTGAACTAAAGTCAATCAACTATAAATTTGCTCAGATTCAACTCTTCTTGATATTTTGTCTAGATCTAGTTAGATATTGTTATGCACATCCGCGATAATTTTAATCCAAAAACATTTTCTCCTCATTAGACATTCTACCGGAAAAACTACATTGCAACGAGATATTAACTTACGACGATCATGAAGTGCTTTCACACACCGCAACATTTGATCCCAATAGAATACAATCCCAGATGTAAGCATACCTGATGGTGAACGAGACGGTTTTTGTGCACCACCAGACCAAAAGCTAAGAATGACACTTTTCAAATCACAATCTCCTTTCTCCATAACAAGTATGAGATTTTCTGATGTACAGTGACTATAAATTTTTAAAAAGAAATTTTAAATATTTCAAATATCAAGACAATAAATGTGCATGATCAGCTTATGTTAAAAAGATGAGAAACACATAGAGGATCTGACTCGAAAGTTCGCATAGCCTTGATCAGATCCTTTCCTGTCCAATAGCATATAGTGAAGGGGAGTTAAAAAAACAAACTTTAACAAAGACCGAATTTCTTAAATACAGTAAAAAAACGGGGAAATTAATTTTAAAAGGGAAAAAAGAGCTGTTACGATTAATATTCAGAAATTAATAGCGAGGTGTTAGTAATGCACCACTATTTAGGTCCTAAAACTTAAAATGTATTACATATTTGAATTTCTCAAGCCAATGAGTAGTAAAATGAAATAAATAAACTCATTCATCAGGTACTTAGGTTTAAGGTGCACTCAAAGTGTGAAGGCTAATGATATGTCCCAGCTGCACAAACCGGAGTGCAAGCTTGTAGGACCTGGCTTCGAGGTTTCGTTTATCAATCACCCTGATAACTGTTATTAAATAAACTCCAACTCTGTATGAATTGAAAAGGCAATACGAAGCGGCGACTACAGTTTATTATTGGATAGCACAGATAACAAAGTTACAAGCACACCGAACGAATTGGAGCAGAGAGGTAAATGCGCGCGAGCAAGAGAATACAGACGCGGATTCAGAGTCAAATCGAGGCGAAACGAATCAAGCATATATATGGGGAAGAGAACGATTCATTGAGCGATATTTAAGTGATTAACATTTAAGCTAGAGAGATATGTGCGTAGGATGTCATATGTGATTAGGCATACACGTTTATACAGACATGATAGTGATCATAATGTTACGAAGAAACAGACAAATATATACTATGCGAATAACACTGTCTGTTAAATAAGTTAATTAAACGTCTTGACAAAACTTACCGTAAACAAAATTAATTGTAGGAGCCTAAGACTTAATAGCTAAAAGTCGAACACCTTAACCAATAAATATGTAAACCATAGGCCTAATGAAAGGAAGGCCATGAGATAGACAAGTGGGGATCTATCTATATATATTACTTCACAGATGTATTTTATAAATAAGAATTTATGATTGCGACTTTTTAATTAAAATATCTCGTTTTCCTTTCAAGACTTAGAAAGAAAAAGATTTATGACTTACTAATCATGTAGTCGGATAATTCTGTCAGAATTTATCAAACTCTTAAGCATCTCAATCTCATTTATATACGACGTAACTGTTTCTTGTGTAAGATTTTTCAAATCAACTTTTTTCACTGCCCATGGATTTAAATCGGAGTCCATAGCCCAATACACCTAAAAGTGAATGAAACAACCAAAGATGAGAATTTTTGGCAAATTTATGGTACTGACGAATTTTTTTTCTTATTTTTCTCCTTATCTCCTCTCTCTATGGTGTTAATGAAGCCAGAGAAGAGTTTAGTGAAGTTTACCAGTAGATTTCAGATAAACAATTAAAAAAACATTTATTAAAGTAGACAATGAGAACTGAGTCATTGAAATAAAATTTGAGTATTTATTAAGTAGACTATTTCAATACAAAGTTATACAAAGTTTAACTGCTTTATATCATGAAAAATGAAAACAGAAATTTATTTAACACTGTTAACACGAAATGATATAAAGATCTATAATTTTATACACAAGTTTATCGTTGCTCATATATTGTAGTAAACAACGAATTGGTTGGAGATAACCAAATTATCGTTTAGTGCAAGATTGCAGTATCTTCGTGAAATATAAAAACAATACATCATTTGCAAATCCTCCATCAGTTGTCTCTTACAAACTTCATCGTTCCCTCATTCCTGTTGTTGTTTTGACTGCTTTGAGTTCTCTTCTCTTCATTTTAATCTTCTCAATCTTCTGCTTACAGTCATCCCACTTCCGACTCCTGTCATATACTACTTATATCTGTCAACATAAGTAGCATACACCACAATGATATTCATTAAGCACTAATAATGTATAATAGTTAGTAAGAGAAGTGGAGTAGTATTTCAATATAAAAATAAATTCACAAAAGTGTGCCCCCCTTGATTGAAACCAGTTTATAGTTAGCTGATGCTGAAAAACATAGATTCTTACTAACTTCTAACATACTTTATCTTGACTACTGTCGTCGATAATAACGAAATAAAAAGTAGGATACGAACAGTATAGAAGAAATGTATATTTTATGTCTCCGTTCATGCAAACAGACTATGATCATGAATAGATGAACGTGGTGTGATCTTTGACAATTTGGACTTCAATTTCACTTAAACAGAATATAAGTCTTCTGACTTGATTTCTATTTAAGTTTTGATCTACAGGAGGTGTTAGATTTATTAATAGACCATGACAGAATATATATTAATCATGAACTCCGTGATTAAACTATATGAAAGAAAAGTACATACAAATAAGAAAGGTAAATGTTAGGTCAACTACTTACCACCGATGAACCTCCCCGTCCCAATTCATTAATTACTCGATACTTTTTACCATTAACAGTTATAAATTGGTCACTTTCATTGACCAGCTCAGTTTGCACACCGACAGAAATCAATTTCTTATCCTGAATAATAAATTGAGGTGATTAAAAGACAAAAGAGTTGAGTCGATACCGGATGGTTAGGTGGAAAAAACATTAAATGAATAAAGTAATTATAATTGGTCTATTTACTTAACTTATATGTATCACAGAAACGCAGAAAACAGTGCTCACGAAGCTGCGGTTACGCAACTTCTAAGGATATCGCCTAAATATTTGTTCAAATAAAAAATTTGTACTCCATAAAACAAACGGAAGACCGGAGAGTATTGGAGAGGAACGTTATTGTACAATGATTACCTTAAGAAAGATCGAGCCTATGACATTGAGAAATGACGACAGATTTCTTGCATGATTATTGAGTAACAGTACTTAGATTTGCCCCCGAATACCCTGGTACGCCCGAGAGTGGGGAGAACCCGCCCTCTTTCTCGAAATGCTCTCACACAGCCACGCGTATATAACCTCTGCCGAGGAAGTCCTATTCACTGGTTTTTGGTGGCGGGAGTGTTGTTTACGAAATTGAGAGGACGAAAAGCGAATATTCGGCGCTTTAACCGGGTTGTTGGACACGAAAAGTCCACCTAAGGGAGTTGGAAAACCCTGATTCCAAACCAATGGTGCACATGGGCTCCAGTATCGTGAGGGAACAAATGGCGTATGAACCAATCGTTGGTCACCCACTACCATGGGACTGCATCTCCTCACGATGCTCCACTGCCTTGTGTATCAGACCTTAAGGTCAAAGGCTCGGGGTGTGGCCCCCTAAGAAAACCACTTGCTTCGGTTCGGGTACCCGGGCAGTATCACAGCCCTCACACAAATCAAATGAGATTTGTGTGGCGCATATGTATCTGGTGCCCCCTTGTACCAATATTTATGTGTTCGAATAAATAATAATAAACATTCAGAGATCGGTTTCAATGAAGATTAACAAAGCGACGATAGTTTTTTATTAGGCTGGTCAGTGACTGTATGGACTCATTAGTTTAGTGGATAATGAATTGCTGTGTGAAACGAAAGGTAACGTGTTCAAATCTCAGCGTGAACATCGATACTGAAATACAAATACACCCAGTTGACGAGTCTCAAATATAACGAAAGGTGTGTCATGAATTCCACTGTTGACCATTACTCAACTTTACTGAGATGTTGAGATTAAATGCCAATATCGAGGCAATCCGATCAACATGAACATATGCCGAAAAGACTAACGGATTGCAGCCCGTAACATAAACAACAGGAAATACAAACCCATACAAATATGATGATACTGATTTCCTAGATTTCTTCGTAATCCAAAAAGTTCTAAAATGCAGTTTGTGAAACATCTCAAACGAATAAGTATGTGGAAAGTAACTGTCGATCATGCAGTAAAGAGAAGTGGAACTTCCTATTACAGCATAGAATGTACGAAAAACTATGTACCTTGAAAAAATGGGTACGTGGAAAAAACAATAAAAAAATAATAAATAAATAATATATTTGTAATATCCCAATGAGTAGAAAAATTAGATTTTTTTCTGACGTTTCGTGACTCAGTGTAAGCCACTTCTTCAGAGGATAAATAACCAAACTCACATTAATCCAAGTTTAAATAGTACAACGGAACAATCCAAGAATATTAGGTGATCAATCAAAAACAGGTCTGAATAAATCAATGTGACGTCATTTCATTGCGATCAAGGTGATTCATAAGTGACATGTATGTAATTTTGTTTGTATGTGTCCACTGTAAATGAGTCACGAAACGTCAGAAAAAATCTAATTTTTCTACTCATTAGGATATTACAAATATATTATGTTTATTTATAACAATCTACCTAATGCTCAATTTATTCAAAATTATCAAATCAAAACTTCGTAATGATACCTACAATAAAAAAATCATTGGAAAACTACCAGAACGCCAATTTTTGTTAAACTTCCAAGCTGTATAAAACTATTAAATCACGAATTTAAAAAATAAATAATTTTAAATGGCTGATTAATTGTTTAATTAAGGCGCTTGAAAGAATTAAAACGTTAAGTTTACATATTTCCAATCTCCTAAGATAAATATATTTTTCTAATTCGTCACAAACTACACAGTCAGTCATGAGCAACATAGAACTTCGCACAAATATGTATCTGTTCAAGTTGCCACGTCATATCAACATAACGAGATGAGATCATCCAGACACGTACCAAAAAAGTAAAAGTAGTAACAGAATCAGAGGTAGTAAAAAAAATTAGGCGAGAACGAAACGGTGCAGGAAGAATAAGTTCATAGAATAAGAAATATAAAATAATTATGAAACTCTACATCTGAGGGAATATAAAGAATGAGTGCCTCCGAGACATTGCATCTGATTCTGAGTAAAGCCACTGTAACCTGGTAGCTGCCGCCTACTAACACGCTTCAGTTCAATAGTTAATGACTTCACGGGTTGATGCTACATTTTAGTTTGGTTACTCCCTAGCTTTCTTTCAACTAGCGCCTACACCAATTAAAATAGCGAATCACAAAACGTATATAACAATTAAGATTATATAGGGTTAAACATACTAGTAGTGTATACATCCTACACACATTTCCCGTACTATACTAGTCATAAAATAAGGAAAAGCATACCGAATCAAGTGAAAACACCTTTTCACAGCTTCCATTCAATTTAATAGAACCAACAATGGTGGATAATTCAGGCTGTTGTAATGATTTCATATTTGGATTACTTGTGACTGAAACAGATAGTATAGAGAGAGAGAAAGAAAGGAGAAAAGATCAAGTTATGAATAAAAGAAAATAAACATTGACGTTCAGGGGATAAAAGACTATATTAAGATCAGAAATTATTATATTTGAAACAGTGATGAAAATTTAGTGTAGCTGAGATGGATCATCCAATGATATATGTGTTACACAATATTAGTGTTATTAGTTTAAAATAAGAAACATAACCATACGAGTGAATTCATCAACAGAAAAAATTCAACAAAATAACACATACAGTGGAGGACAATGTTATAAACCTCAGTGCATACATATCATCGAAAACATATGACACAATTACAACCGTAAAATCTGATTTCATAAATAAATAAAAAGTGGATGTATTCGGAACACTGACAACAAATCTTAACTCCAGGTTTCTTTAGTCATTGATTTCTTTATCAATTCTCAAAGTTTGGTATTACAGAGTAGACTATGTTTGTGTTATGACTAATGACGCTGTTAATTATCACTTGGCAAAATAGCCAATCAGAATACCGACTTCTACAACTTTGTCCCTGTACTAAACCAATGACACGCCAACAAGCACCAGAAGCTTTGAGTCAACTCGGAATCTTTATTGGCCCTCTATATTAACAGCTTCTCACCTAGACATGTCCGTTAAGCCCAATATCCGCCTCCCCCGTATGAATCGTATATTTCAGACATACGTGGTTTATATACAAGCAGACCAGGCAGCATCAGGCAATGAAATGAGAAGTATCAATCATATAAAATCAAGAAAAAAGTGACGGTGAGTATAGAACAATTTGACTAATAGGTTGGGAATAAATGTCGAACACTAAATCGTAGAATAGTAGCCAATGGGTCGAATGAAGGCTTGTGACAAAAGAAACATGAATACATATATGATCTATTGACTTAATAACTATCCAATAGGAATATATATAACAGCCCATAAGCAATTCCTAGCAGATACCATTCAGTTATTCTTCATCTGGACATAACAGTTTGTCACACAAACTACATCATCAATTGCTAATTTAATTGATTACTTGAAGGGGTTTAAAGGGGATTGGTTTAGTTTGTTAAGTGTTTGCTACAAGACCTGATGCTCCAGGTCCCATTTGGTACGGATCGTGGGTGTACACTGTCCAGGTGTATCATACTAGGATGAGATTGATTATGCAGTGTACCTTGGTTTCCAATGATACATCGACGGAGATCATTATATAACGAATACAACACAACAATTGATTAGTGTCATCTTGATTCATTTTTCACCAAGGCCTTGAAAAACCTGCTTTCATCGAAATTTGTACAGCAGACTAAGGCGCATATATATACATAGGGTTACACCTATTTTACCACCGAAAATTGCAAATGGGTAAGAAACGAAACATTTGTAGCACGTTATTATAATCGATATGAGAAAAATCAACTGGACAATCGATTTATAGAAGCAAGCTCAGACTAAGGCACCTATGGACATCCGTAACATACCTTAGCTGACACCGAATTTATTAATAATTACCAGGAAAGCTAAATGAAAACTTTTAAAGTGGGAGAAAACTCCAAATATATTTTAGATTACAGTTACGATAACTTGACACAAAATTCGCTAATCTAATTTCACAAGCAATAAATTGCTCAGCTACTTTCTAGTAGTGAAACATGAACCACGGATAGGCCTGTGGTAAAATAAAGTAACCAGGAGTAGAAGAATTGCTGGTCGATATACTACAGTTGGTTTTAGAACAATTTATTTCTTTAAATATTTTATTGATGTCCATTATCGTTATATCTGCTTAGTTTAATAATAAAAAGCATGATGAAATATATTTATTTCCAGTGTAGAAATTTTCTTTGTCAGCCTGGCAGGTCGGTTAATGAAATAGTGTCTTCACCGATTTCGGTTTTTGGGAGATACATCACATGAAAGCAATTATCACCAACCTTAAAAGGCGATGTTTGCTGGGGTGGGAGTGAGTTAGCAGAAAGCTTAGGGCGACGAAACCAAAACGTGACATCAAACCAGAAGCTGAATAACCTCAACTAAGCTATGTAAAATACAAAACAATGAACTGTATCGTCGAGTCCTATATTGTGAAGTTTGATCTATAGAATGTCAACTGAGCCCAACCTGAAACCTGATGACCAAAAAAGCAAAGGAGTACAAGAATAAAAGAATAATTTACCTGAAGTAACTGACAGTTCTTCTGGAAGCCCTGATGATTTGAAGGACCGGGAAGAATTAGATAAATCCTGAAAAATTGAGGGAAACACTTTCACACGTTTTTTTGAAAAATAAGTTCCAGATGTTTGATTACTCACCATGAACATACAAGTTCACCTTGCTTTAGTGTCAGACCTTGAATATGAAACAAAACATTACAAATTCCATAAAAACCGACGATAGGTTGATATCTGGTATCACGGGGTTTCATTGAACCACAGATTTATCATTCACACACATACAAAGATACGGTAAAACAAACCATTAGTCAAAATAGACATGATTTTGGAGAGATCTAACGAAATAACTTTTACGTCAAAAACTGATAAGGAATTGTTTCTCAAAGTTAATTTCTTATACGAATACTCATCAATACTAGAACGAATAGTTTGATAAAAATTGGCTAATATCACCCTGAAGAAGTTTAGACAAGTTTTCTGGATGAAACGTTGGCATTATTTAAATTTTAATCGCTGAGATTATTTCAAATATAATGTCTTTACTAGCTTCTTTCTATTAGTATTAGATATATTTCAGAGTAAAAGATAGTGGAGATCAATTATTATTTTCTTAATTGGAATATAAGGGAAATAAGGTTTAGGACCTTTAATGAACTTTTTGTGATTATTAATTGTTATGGCACAGCTAGTAGTAATCCGACTTTTCTAAATATTTGTTACTATCGAATGTGCCAGTTCAATTGATTCATGAGATGTACATACAAGAACATTGTTATTCATGTCATCATTTAATCTATTCGGTTGTTGAAAATCGACATTGAAAATAAAAAATCATTAGAAAAAAAACAAGATCTACATTCATTTAGTTATATTCTCATGATTTTTCAAGTATTTCTGATAACCTACCCTGACTGGACCAATTATTTGTATTGATTCAGCTGGATTGCAATTACTAGGAATGTTTGGTGAATTTCCATTCGGTTCAAAATTGATATCTGTTACAGACTGATAACGTTCTTCTGTGTGACTAGAATTAATTTATGAAGGAAAATTTTTCAAGTCAAAACATTTCTACAGGTTTAAAATAAATATGTAAAACTAAAAAATCCATTAGATGCTGCCTGATTGATATTCTTAAAATGAAATATGAATTATCATGTATTCAAGCATCCATTCGGAATAGAATGTACACATGTACGAACCAACCAGTCTAAAATATATAACCACCGATTTAGAATTTGTGAACTTGACCTATTAATTTTCTGATTCGATACAATTGAGATATAAACGAGCAACTCTAGTAAAATGATCTTACATACGTTTTTAAGCAAAAAGAATCAAAAGATGCAAATATATAATATGAAATTGTATTAGACTAACAGGAACTTTGCAATAACTATAGTGATTTCTAACACATAGAGTTAAATCAATCAGTCAGTTATAATCAATTTAGAGCCAGGTAAACCATATTACGATGGCTAGATAAATACTAAAAGTCCAAATGGTGTGGTAATAGTAATGAGAAAGACTGAACATTGGGAATATCCTTTGGAAAGATAGAATGGAAGGGTATGTATGGAAAAGTACTGGAATTCAAAATAAAAATGAATTTGGAAGTGAATGCACTGTGCCATAGTTAGAAAAATAGAACGCAACTATACCAAAGTAGCTAAATACTTTAATGTGGTACAACTTATGTAGACAGAAACTGAATAAGTTGGTTAGTACTTGAATATTCAGTAGTACATACAAGTCAAAAATGAAGTGATTAAGTGATTATGATTATTTCTGTGGCGACGCTCGGGCCACATTTCCGACTGAGACATTGAGACTACTTAATCTCCGATGCTGAGATCTTTACGAATACAATTTACCCAGTCTTATGCCTGATAAAAGATCTACGACTTCCCTGTCTAATAGTTCAACAACAGCTTGCTACGTATTAATTTGGCTAGAATATGATTTCTTCCTCGAGACCTCTTTGTAAGAAGTATCTAATCGTAAAATACAGAAAACAAATTTGCATAGGATTGAGATTATGATAGCATTCACCAGAACGATGGGCTTAGTACCACACATGTGTGATAATATGCAATGTTTCCAATTCCGAGAGCGGTTAACATAAACTTACTCATTTGGACAAGTAGAATCCAGAACTGAAGAAACTCCACTTGAACTTGCCTGAGAACAATTTATGTCTAGTTGAAATAATCAGTTATCTATCATAAAAATCTCACCTTGAAAATCAAAGTCTGGTTTGTAATAAAATGGTCCCAATAACGATTTGAAATCATCGTCTGTATCTAACATACTTTCGGCTCTACATAACAGTTCCACCCCACATGTGTCGACACACTTTTTCGTAGAGTTTAAAAGACCTTTAGCTCTATTCTTATCTCCTGGAAATTTTAATGAGCTAATAATAATCATATGCTTACCTTGCTTGAAATAATAATACGCTACAGCGGCAATCAACTGTGGATTTCGACGTCCATTTATAGAACATAAGCTTAGGAGTACAGGACCACAGTCCGAATTTCTAGTTTTAAATTATAACTAGAATAGACAACTTACTCATATGATGCTAAAACTGCTCTTCTGATAAAAATTGTAAGATACATTTCATCTGACCAATTCACGTCTAATGACTAGTATACAAACGAATACATATCGTTGGTGTATTAACTTACATCTATAGCACTTTCATATAAATTTAAAAGTATGTTAGTTGTTGTTGACCCACGATCCAATGATCTAACTTTTCTTTCCATATGATTAAGAAAGCCAAGCCAATCATCACAAGATTTTATATTTTTAGGGTCTTTAAAATAATGAGATGAATATGAGCAACTTACAAGCTTTTACAATTGCTATCTGCAAATCTCGTGATACACTTGGAAGTAGCATCACACGCTAGTTAACTTGTTACTGTAGTGAACGGAGTGAAAGCGTTTATTCTTAATTTACACCTGTAATAAGAAATTTAACGTGTGATCCCAAGAGAAAAACATATATAAGTTTCTTTATCAATCGAGTACCTGAGCAGTCATTCAAAAAGTATGACTAGGTTCGATTAGTCAAATCGACATACGTCGCCAGTAAACACTGAAGTGCGTAATGGTTAAGCATGCTCAACAATTGCGTACAGACTTAAATTAGCGTTGCTTACAACACATTGAGAAGACAGTATTAAAAGTGCAGTAAATGTTACCTTCTTTAACAATGGTTTTACACTGCATTCGAAACAAGTTACGGTATGGAATAAGACAAACAATTTTTTGTGGATGAAAAGCGTTATTTCTTTTGTCAAGTCTGAGACGATAATGGAAACATTAATTATAGCAAAAGTAAACTATGAAAACGATCAAATTGTTAACCCAGTAAAATATAAAGTTTGAAATACCATGAGAACAAAATAGTATGAGAGATTCCAAATGAGGTCATAGCTGAACCATAAAGGAGAAAATGAGTTAGCAATGAAGTAAGTGGTAGAATGGAGCTGCAACATCACACAGCACAAGGCCACTTCTCATCCAGAAAGACTAAGATCAGAAATATGACGCACATGATGGGACGAAAGTATATGTACGGCCTTGATCAATTCTACAAGCAGAATGTCAACCGCTTGTTGGATTAGAAACGGATATATATAAGGGTTAGCATTAAGGGAGTAAAACTAGGTTTGGTGTTTTAATCACGAACTGGCATTAGGTCTAATGAAATACTTTGTAGACATAAAAGTTTCATTCTTGAATAGATCTTGCAAGGCTGGTAACATGTTGTTGAGAGCTATCTTGAATTCGTTGTTTGTCAGTATCTCGAAGGAAGGCTGTATTAAATCTTTGTGATGCTGTTTCTCCGATTGTCCAGTGCTTCGTTAGCTACAGTTCCATTTTGGCCACAACGAAGTGGTGATCTGAAGCTATGTTCGCTCCTTTCTTGGTTCTCGCAACTTTTATTGATCTTCTGAGTTTTCTAGTGACGCGAATATGACCTATGTGGTTCACCGTAGTGTAATCAAGTGAGACCCATGTACCTTTGTGTATGCATTCATGGGGGAATACAGTGCTTCCTACAACCATTTTGTTGAAAGCACACAAATTTATAAATCTTCCGTGTTTCACTGTTTCCGACAATCTCCAATTTGTATTTCCTTGTTTCTGTAGCCATTTGAATAGTCTGCCCAATTTCCCACAATGTCCAGATATTCCAGATGCCTACATTGACTGTTGCTCTGGTTGTTAGAAAAACATAAGCCTCATGACTTCTGAAGAATTTTGGCTTCCACCATGAGGCGTCCAATCCTCATGGCAGAGTTCAAATGGTTTAAATTGTCTTTTTCCGCCTGTAGACCTTCTAGGGTAGATGGCACTTTAAAGCCCGGGCAAAGGAGAATGGTTGGGCATGAGGTCGGCAACCCGTGCCGTAGAAAACAACCTTGATAAAAAGCATTTGAGCAGCGCTTAGAAAACCTATAATTAAAGACTTGAAGGAAAGTAGATTTTTGATACAGCCGAAAACTTTCAGTGAAAAACAAGAGACCATCCTTTCAGAGTCCAAAAAGTAGTCGAACAAACTAACACGAACTGAGAAACATTTATGTAAAAATGGACTTAGAGACCAATAAATAAGATCTGAGGATTTAAGAAAACCTTTATCACTGGGGGTGAAAGTAGATGAGATTGATTCATATATGGGCTAGTAATTATATCCAACCAAAGAATTAAAATGAAATACCATTTCTATACATTTGGAATACACCAAGTCGATTGTCAGAAACAAACATCATTGATGAAAAACTGACCGTTGCCGGCTTAAATGACAGGTTTGCAGACCCTCTAACACGAAAGTGTGTGGAATTTTAGAACTATCAGTAGAGTCTACAGGATTTCAAAGTATTGTTTAGATTGAACGATTAGATGTACCAGTGATTATGGAAAACAGACTATAAGTACATCTCCGGTTAATTATGAGAATACGGGTGATGTTGAAGTTGAAAACTTCTATCAGTATCGGTAATTTTCGAGAAGACTGTTGTAATTGTTTGGGTATTAACCTACATTTCCTGACAAACACAAACCTACCCAACTTCTCAATACGGAATAAATTTCCTCAGTCCTACCCATATAAAGAGAACATTTCGAATGAAAGCTGAAAACTAATGAAAATTCTGAGTGTTTTGTTGTATTCCCTCAAAAATCTCCAATGGAGTTTCCACAAAATCGACTAAATTTACCTCCAATTCTGGAGCATCCTTAAACTAGACGGAAAACAAGTCCATACCTTAGCAAATGAACAGAAAAATGAACACTTTGGAATAAACAGTGGTGGTCTTATTCACTTAAGTATATTTATTACATGAAGTAACTCGAAATAACTCTGTATTTATGGAGCTGTGCAGCAGATTCACAACAGATCTGACGAATGTCAAGTGAAACCAGTATTTAAAGACACAACATAAGAGAATCAAATAAGAAGTTGGATCTATTATAATGAGAAAGGATAGTGCGATTAACCCACAGAGGAAGAAACAACTCGGTCCCCTGTACTCACAAATAGCGCCGAAACACAGGTCATGGAAATTGTGATACGTTTAAACAATGGTTCCATCGGTCGTGAATGTGACACAAAAGCCTTTCGCTTCACAAGCATTGTTTCTAGTAGCGAGGGGCTCCTGATACCTGCCATAAGGCATCTCATTGTATGATTCGAGCAGAAGTAATGTCAATGATTAGTGACTTGTGGTTTAAATCCAATCCATGTGCTACGTTGAGCATCCAACACCATCAGAAATAAACGTCTTGTATTCCCCGAGATTATTTTCCTAAAAATTCTCCATAGTACAAAATATAAGCCTACTTCATCTTCGGGGTAAACTACCCTGGGGAAGCAACCAAAGTAAATCCAAATCTTATTCTTAGACGATGGCTTGGTGTTATAACCCATTAACTGATATTAGCACTTCGAAACTCTAAGAGGATCTCAATTCATAAATTATGGTTCTCGCTACTTGGAAAAAAAAGATAATCCTTGGGAACGAGTTCAAAGACAGAGGAGAAAATAGATGTGACTAGGGACAAATTCCGTACAAGTAGACATTATCTCGGATATTTCTCGCAAGATTATGTGAGTAAAGGAGGTGATCTTAAGATGATAGACATTACGATCATTACACTACTGCACCTTGATGCAAATATCCCACCAAAACCTCATCAGCAAGAATCCCCCTTATTTGAATTCCCCCTCAAAATTATCTTCAGTAGAAAGCATGTAAACCATGTACTAACCATTTCGTGGGAAGAAAAAGGCATCTGAGGCATGTCTATGAGGCTAAATAACTATCGCCATTGACATTTTACACGAATGAATTAGGTTAAAATTACAATAACTTCGTTTTTGCACACAGACTGCTCACTGAAGTTTGATTGGTGGCTGATCGAGTAAATAATGAACATTACTGGGAATGAGCAGTTATCATAAGAATTCAACTACTTCTAGTGATTATATTAACGTGACACTGGTGTCAGTTTATGGACGTTTCAAAACTTATATCAAACGTCAATAAATCTAAACAAGAAAATGTTTCAGCGCCACTACTTCAGTCCATCATAATCGTTAAAGAACAAAAAATTTTCTATACAGTAGTGTGAAAAGAACAACCGTATCGACTTTTTAACGCAATTCCATAGCACATGCTCCAATGGTTTTGTCAAATGAAGCGACCAATCAAAAGAAAGAAACAGTGCACAGAATGTTACATCCATAGGCGCTGAATAAATTTTTGTAACAAAGTATATAAACTACGTAACCAAAACACGATTTTAAAAAACACAATACTTCGCAATGCCGACAGATATTTGATTATAGTAAAGGCCACAACAATAGCTGCCTGTAGATCAAAATCACATATCTTTTGTTTTATTTTTAGCTTACTGGAAGCTTCGGAATTCCAGATAGCTTTCTTTTGTTCTTCCAGCATATCGGGATCAACTTTGGGACACTAACATGCAGGTTAAATACAAATGCCCTGTTTGTATCTCTCCACAGCTTCATGAACACGATCATGTTTCTATCATGGCAGTCTGAGAAAGATCCACATATTTCAAGAGAAACTGATCAGTTGCAGTTCCAAACATCAATGTAAAGTTCCAAATAATCAATACATGGTTTGAAAATGTTTTGTTCTGGAAATTATTTAAAAAGTGGTATCGAATCTCTTTATCTGTTCTTTATGAACCATATGAAATTTGTATTGCTTCATCCTAAGATCTTCAGTATTTTCGCACACCATTCTTTAAACACGAAAAGAATAAAACATGATTCTTGCTCACAGGTATGTTGCTTTAAGTGCAGACTTGATTAACCTAACACAATTCAACAAAAATGTTTTAGTTTTAATTATAATTGACATTGCATCATTCAATTTAACAACTATACATGCTGGATCTCCTTTCTTTTCATATTTGAACCAAGTAAACGTGACCAGACGCTCACTTCCATGAGTGTCTGTTGGAAAATTTGTAAAACATTTATAGCTGTATCAATTATATTGGTAAAATACCTTTACTGGCTCCTCCATCTTTGTGTTATAAATTTGATCCATACCAACCACTTCAAGAATTACTTCGTACGGTACAAATTACCCAACTGTTCTAGAGTACGCTACATATTTCCGATTAGCTGTTAAGTCATGCAACTCACGCAACTACTGAACTGTTACCAGCCTTCAGTCAGTTAGATGGAGTGAGTTTTTGACATATTGTGAAGGTTGGAACATATACACTTAACGCTGGTTAACGGTTAACATATTTCCATGGAAAGCATTATTCACGTTACGATCTACTCTATACCCTACCGAACCCATATTTATGATAAAAATGCTTGAAAAGTTTTCCCTGGGTCCACTA